ACCTTAGTTTTATATACTATAATTTAATAGTATTAATAATACTATTTTTAATAATTTTATCTAGAATATAACTATTATTACTTTTAGTAGTTATACTAAAGTAATTAGTCTTAGTATTTACTTTAGTATTAATAGTTTTCTTTAATATAGTAGTATTTATATAATAGAGGTTATCCTTTTTATTACCGATAGTAACTATTTTCTTTAGTAGTATATATAAATAGGCTTTATTTTTTATAAATAAAGCTATTAAATTATATAACTAGTAAATACTTATTAAATTTATACCTAAATTAGATATATAATATATATCCTTTAATAAGTATATATAACTAGTATTAGATTTTATATATATATTACCTTTATAAATTACTTTAGTTATATTAGCCTTACCCTATTTTACTAAAGTAGTAGTAGGTTTATAATAAGAATAGTATTCTAATTTATATATAGTACTAATAGTAGTAGTATTATTAAGAATAAAGTCTACTTTTCTATTTATAGGGTTTAATCTTATATTATCTAGCGGTCCTTTAGTACTTAATATAGTACTATATATTAAAAGAGGATATACCGCTTTATATTTATAAGTATTATCTATATCTAGTAGTTAATTACTAGCTTCTTTAGGAGGCTGATTTTTAATACTAGTATATAGATTTTTATCTAATTTATTAACTAGATCTAGTATATTAATATTTTTAATAGTAGATTTAGGTATATCTACTATATTAGATAATTTAATTATTTATTTTAGCTTAATTAGTATCTTTAGAGCTATTAGCTTTATTAACTAATTTAGCTTTATAAAACTCTCTAATAGCTAAAATAGATAGTTTAATAGCCTTTTTAGCCCTTTTACCTTTAAGCTTCTAGCCTTTAGATACTAAATTAGGAAATAATAGCTAGTAGTTATTAGTATTATAACTAATAATCTTATAGTACTAATAATATTTTCCTTTAAAGGGCTTATTTTTATATAACCTTTAATACTTATATTTAAATATTATAATATTTGTATAATAACTTCTTTTATAAATATAAGATTCCTTTCTTCTAGCTTTATTAATTAAGCTAGAAGATAGAGATTTAATAGTATATATATTAGGGTTATTTCTTAATAATTAGATTATATTTTAAATAAACCTATTATAGTCTTTATTAAGACTATTTAGGACCTAGGCTATAACTATCTAATTAGATAGGTCTATACCTCTTCTTTTAAGGTTATCTACTAGTATTTTAACCCTATTAAGATACTTTTCTATTAAGTTAAAATCACTTAATATAGTATTAAAGAAATCTTTTAGGATTAAATATTTAGTAGTAAACCCTTTAGGATTATATAGGGCTTTTAAACGTAGCTAGGCTTTATAAGCACTTTCTATATCTTTAAGATATAGTAGTAGTCTATTATTATAATAAAGCTTTAAAATAGATATAGCTTTATTATTCTTTACTCCTATAAAAGGGCTTTCTATAGGGGTATATAGATCGTCTTTTATTAGGGTAGCTTTTACCCTAATAGACTAGATAATATAATTCTCTAATCCCTTTAATTTAGAGAGATATATCTTCTCTAAAGAGGCTATAGAGAGATATAATATCGGAGTAGTGCTATATACTATATTAAGATATAGTATATAAATATCGGAGATAAATCGGAAATAAATCGGTAAAGTCTCGGCCTTTCCTTAATAGGAAATATATACCTATATTTCCTAAATAGGAAATAGAAACATCTTAAAGAAAGCCCGCCCCCTTCTCGCCGATCAAGTTACGCAAGTATGTCGAGACCGTCGAGAAGCCCTCGGATAGGACCCCCGTACGCGCCTTACTACCGCTAAAGCCTAGGAAGACCGTGAAAAAGCCGAGGAGGGTTAGAAGAAAATGCTCCGCCGGTGGAACCGTATTATATATACTCTTACAATTAAAGAAAAAGACCGGTAATAGATCACTTTTAAGGAGCGATATATAGATCCCCTATTTACCCTATTACTAGACTATATATAAAAGGAATAGATAGATAACTACCCGGAGAGGTTTCTTTATTATTATATATTATAGTATCTTTACCTTAATAAGATCGCTACGTCCCGTATAGAGAGTGCGTATTAGCTACTTAAGTAAGGTCTCTAGGTTTCGAATAACGACTTATTTATAGTCCTTACTAGTTTTACCCGGTTAGTCGAGCTTTAATTCGCTAAGGTATAATATAGGATTAAGAACTAGAAGACCTTTCGATTAATATTTATTCCACTACTTTATAAGCTACTTTATACCCGGATCTTAATATAGGTAATCTAGCTTATAATAGATATTTATAGACGGTATCTATCTAAAGGAGAAGAAGGTAAGCTATAAATTCCCCCTTTATATATTTATAATTCGAAAGAAACTGCCGGATTCCTATATATATATATACTCCGATAGTATAAATAGGATAAGAGATCTCTTAAACTAGACCTTTACTACTAGTATTAGTATCTATATAGTATTACTAACGCCCCTCCTATTAATCTATTACTTTTACCCTAAGATCCCCTCTAGGTTCGACGATAAGGACGTCTATAGGGAGCTAGAAATTTTAGTACCTAGGCTAGTAGCACCTAGGCTAGTAGTATCTAATAACCCGTAGTCTTCCCCGGATCTATTAACCTAAGATCGTTCTATATACCGAGGTCCTTTATTATAGGAGGAGAGCCGAGGACGGGGATAAGGCCGAGGACGAGGACGGCCGCGGGGACGGGGAAGGGGACGTAGAATAAGTAGTGGTGAAACTGGCAGTGGTAATACCGAGACTAGAGAATAGGGACGTGGTCGAGGACGTGGAAACCGCGCGCGGGGACCTATATAAGAAGCATATTCAACCTATATGAGTATACAAATACTTAAATTAATGAAAATGTACGATTTTTTCTGATCAAAATGCATGCTTTCTTACTATGTAAACCAGAATTCATATAGTGGTGGCAGAAAAAATGGCAGAAAACTCTGCACCGGCAGAAAGTATGGGAGAATCCAGGGTCGCACCCGATTAGGAAGGCGGTACTGAATTTTCAGGCAGGGGGGGGGCCCATCTAGGCTGGGGGGGGGGGGGGTCTCTATATTAATCCCCTCTATATAATTAAAATAATACTAATATTTAATAATAGATTTTAATTCTTTTTATCTAATAATTAAAGGTTTTATTAATATAATATCTATTAGAAATTATTCTAAAAGTTATTAATTCTATAATAAAAATATCTTATAATAAATTATAGATCAACTAATACTCTAATAATAGCTTTTAGTTCTAAATTAAATAAAATACTAAAAAGTAATAAGATATCTATAAAGTTAGCTAATAATAAAATAATATAATATTTTAATAGTAACATATTAATAATCTATTTCCTTTTTATAAAAGATAATATCTAATTATTTATATTATTAAATCTAATTAAGGTTAAGTCTTTTTAATTTTAATAAAAGAACTAATCCTATTTCCCTATAATTATATTATTTATTTATAATATTCTTTTTATTTTAATAACTAATATTAATATTAAATAGCTCTTTAATACTATTTAAGATATTTATTACTACTATTACTACTATTATAATTATATAAAGTCCGAAATAATTAAAAAGCTTATATTATTTCTATATATAATAGGATTTAATCTTAAAAAAACTAAAGTAAAATAGCTCTAATAGTTTTTTTTATTAACTAAACTTAAATTATTAAGAAAGGAATTTAATAATTATATAAAAGATCCTAAATTTAACTTAATTAATAATAAAAAAAAAAAAAAGAAGAAAGAAAAGAAAGTAGATAGTAGATTATAAAAGATATTTCCTTATCGAATAGATATATAAATATAAAAGTAATAAAGCTATAGTTACTAGAGTTTATAATTTAGATATAGGCCTTAAAGAGGAAATATAAAAGTAGAGTAGATAATAATTTTAAGAAATATTAGAGAAATATATCCTAATATAATTATCTAATCTATTCTAATTTATTCTAGAAGACCTATCTATAAATAAGATACTTAATATTATAAGTAAAAAGTATACTAATTATATAACTCTACTCTAGAAGGCTATTTAGCTAGTTTACTCTATATTAGGGCCCTAATAGGTTACCTAATAGCTTTTAGGTTATAGGTAATAACCTAAAACCTATCGTTAGGTCGAGGTAATGGACCTAAAACCTATTTTGGGTTAGGTTAGGTTAGGTTAGGTCCGGGTTATAGTGGGTCGTGCCGAAGTCTAGGTTCTATAAGGGGGATATCAGATACCTAAGGTATCATATATATGATAGAACCTAGATAGTTTGCCTACGCTCTCTCTCTCTCTTTCTCCTCTCTATCCACCCGAATACATACATGGTTTCTTATACTGATTTCACACTGTATCTATATTCCATGACGTTCACGTCATCCGTGAGGTTCCCGAAGGCCCACCTGTCTTCATATATGACACTCATTAGCCTTTTTCGATATCTCCCAGTTCCTCACACAACTGCACCCTGAGTATGAGAGTCTTACAGTCTACATTTGGTCTCTTTCATAATTGCGCAGCTCTACAAAATCGTCATATTGTACTTTCCATGCTTTACGATCTCATTTACTAACACATAGATCGGATTTTAGCCCTGCCACTTGTACCTGCATTTTTATTTTTTCACAGAGGGGGATGGAATCTTGCTATTCCCGGGATTGCTCTAAATTAGAGTTCACGAATCATGTCAAAGGGTAAATCCTACCTCAAACTATCACACATTATGTAGACACTATGCAGACTTGACAAACTCAAAACAAATTGACCCGATTCTCTCCCTGTATAGAAACTCAGCAGCATCCGTATACAAGATAGTTCTGAGTAATAAAGAAAAGGCCCCCGAAGCAGGAACCCATAACATCTGGAAACGACTGACATGAGTGGCGTGAGACTCAATGAATATCAAGATCCCCCAAACCTAACAAATAGACCCAAAATGCGCTTAGCCCTTACAGGTACTGGAAGCACGAGCGTGCGCAACGAGTAAAGTCGTCAGAGGTGTCCTCAGCTGGCTTATTGGAGGTAGCAGCAGCACCTGCACCACCATTGCCGCTAGACACCTTAGAAGCAGCGCTAGAGCCCGACTCGCCGGTCCAGACTTCCGGACCAGGCATAGGGTATTCCTTGTAGCCGTTCCAGATACTGAAGTTAAACGAAGGGTCGTCTTTCTTGTAAGCACCGGGGAATTTGACAGTAGGTCCGGGGATTCCATTGCCACCACCGACAACCTTGACTTGAGCACAGCTAGAAATTCTGTCAGTATTTATTGAAGAACAGAAGTAGGAGGGGAATGAGAAGGCTTGACTTACGAGTAGTAAAATTCGGCTTCGCCACCCGCGGCGCCGTGCACGCCTGTTTCGGAATTAGTATCCTTCGCTTGTATTAATGAGATAACAGACATACCAATGTGCTCCGGCCGAATCAGATACTCTCCATCAGGCAGACTCGCAGGAATCGTGAACTCAATACGGTCCTTGTCCCAAGTGCACCAGGCATCCTTGGTGAAGTCCTTGTTCTTGTCGCAGACACTCTCTTGGTGGATCTTGAACCACTCGCCATCGCCCTCATATTCCTTGGCGGTGGTAGGAGCCTTGGACATGTAGACCAGGGCAGGACCAGGGTGCTGCATTGTAGCACCAACGGCAAGCTTCATGGCGACCTTGGATCCGGCCTTGACCTCCGCAGTACCGGTTTGGCCAGCGAGCGTGAAAGCACCCTTGTTGCAGCGGAAGTCAGGCATATCAGGGGTCATGTCGTCGCGGGTGTTGACCCATTTGGTTGGGTTGTACTTCGCGGGACGGGTATTGGACCGGACAGAGTCGGAAGCTTCCTTGCCGTCAATGACGATGGTGTCGAAGAAATAATGGGCTGAGACCATAGGCGCGATGGCTGCGAGAGCGACGAGGGAGAACTTCATTTCGAAATGAATGGAAGAATTGTTTGGCTTTTGGAAAGAACGAATTAAGGGACCGGCCCAAGGAAAGGAAATAGTATACTGAGGTAGAAATGAACGGACGAAGCTGCTCACGATGAATGTCTTGGAGGCATCAGTGAGGGAATTATGTCGTCCTTATATATTTTCTGATCTCGAAGTATCTCGCACGCGACACGGCACCTTGACCCCTAGCCATTGCATGATACCGAGGTATCCTTCATTCTTTTGAAACAAAGGGCTGGAGCTGGGTCGCTTAATCTCATTTAGTCAGGAATGACAAAGGCATTATTATGGACCAGGACAGGGATATCTGAAACGCGGCTTAAAGCTGCCTTGGTGAAGTCTAGCTGCTCGACCCTGGCATCTGAGATGGCTTCTTCTACAACAAAAGCTGCCTTCATGCAGGCTAGCTGGTAAACCTTGACATGGATTTTCTAGGAAAAAGAGGCCTTGCATCAATGCCTAGATGATGTCCGAATAGGATCTAGTATAGGGTAAACTACTAAGATTAGGTACTCGGTGAGAGTCCGAGGTTCTGTTGGAGACATGAACTTCGGTAGCAACAATAGTCCCACTTGCCGATGGAGGCTTGGCATGGCAGTGGACAACTCTATTTCACGAGGTAGGGAGCGATATGATTGGTGAAGGAGAAATATAAAGTCTTGGCGCGGACACTCTAGGCTTTGCGGTCTCTCAGGCTGTTACAAAATGTTCCAGAATTTAGCCTGAACAGGAGTATCGATTGGCTTACAGAAACAGGGGTATGAGGGGGCTTGCCTAGGGCTGTTTATCCAAAACGCTTGGTCAGATGCTTGGCCACATCTGCTCCAATTAGATATGCCCATACAGCAAGCGGGGACAGACCCTTCGGGATTTGGACCCTGAGTACTACACTGCCTACATCCCCTTTTAGCATTTCTCCGATTGAAGAAACGGGGTAAACAAATCCCGCATCTTGGCTACTCCTTCACTCCATAGAATATCAATCTGTGACGGGTATTCCCGGTTCTATACAGTATTCACCCGGATGGTCGAAACACTGCTGTCGCCGTGTCAAAATAGACACGGGTCGTGGAATAGCTGAAATTTCAACGATCCTGGTGTCGTGTTTGCAGCTTAATCATCAAACTCCAAGAGAATGGATATATAAAGACCTGGAGATGGCCATTCATCTCACTATCACTTTTCAACGATCAATCCTGAGTATTGAGGCAACCTTCCAACCTTCCACTTGATCAGAAAGAATCCCTCATCTGTGATATATCTTTTTCTTGTTACCCAAAGATGATGATCCTCCCTGTCCTGCTAGCCCTCGGGCTTCTATCCTGCTGACGCCCGCCGCCTCTTCGGGCTGTGGCAAACAACCAACTCTCACCAATGGAGTCCACACTATCAATGGACGCGAGTACATCCTAAAAATCCCCGACAACTACGACTCAAACAAACCCCATCACCTCGTATTCGGACTGCATTGGCGAGGCGGGAACATGAACTCTGTCGCCAACGGCGACAGCATTCAACCCTGGTACGGTCTCGAAAGCCGAGCACAGGGCAGCGCAATCCTGGTAGCTCCCAATGGCAAGAACGCTGGCTGGGCCAACACCAACGGCGAGGATGTGGCCCTCATCGACGCCATCATCCAGCAGGTCGAAGGCGACCTCTGCGTCGATTCGAGCTCTCGCTTCGCGACGGGCTTCAGTTGGGGCGGTGGGATGAGTTACGCCCTTGCTTGCTCGCGGGCAAAGGAGTTCAAGGCCGTGAGTGTCTTGAGCGGTGGTTTGATTAGTGGATGTGAGGGAGGCTACGATCCCATCGCTTATCTGGGTATTCATGGCATTAACGACCAAGTCCTGCCATTTGGCGGGGGTGTGACTCTGGCGAATAGGTTTGTTGGGAACAACAAGTGCCAGCCAACAAACATCGGCAAGCCTGCGTCTGGCAGCGGCGGTTTCGTTCGAGCGGACTTCGACGGGTGCTCCAAGCCAGTTTCGTTCATAGCTTATGATGGAGGACACGTTGGTGCGCCCCTGGGTGTTGGCAGTTCTCTGGCTCCCGATGCCACCTGGGAGTTTTTCATGGCGGCTTGAAGTTTTGGTTAGCCCTTGATACTGGAAGGATTTTCAGTATCATTACCTAGCGAATAGGCCACCGCCCCTGTGACTTAGAAAATTGTCCACGTGTCTGGTTCGTAAAATGACAACTACTTGGAGCTGTCTTAGCCGGCATTGAAATCTCGAAACTTCGGCGTAATTATAGGGCCATAATCCTGGGCTCGGTTCGACTTCTGCTTTATACTAGCCCAAATTACCATTTGTTGAATCTTTCTAGCCTAGAAACAAATTGGCGATGGTAGATGAACATCGGCAGAGTCGTGGTACAACCTTTAAAGCAGTTGGAAGTAATAGTACGACGGAGCATGAAAATAGGATGTGACCCCGGTTCAGCTTTAAGCCAAATCAGGCTACCAAGGCAATGTAATCGTTGAGTAAAGGGTAGCTGCATTCCACTTCATCAGTTGCTTTTCGGGTGGACCAACATGGGCGCTTCATCATTTTGGGCCATTGTTTAAGATGTCATTCTTTATCGCCAGTCCTTTTTGATAGCCAAAAGAACTTGGTTTGTAACCGAAAACCCCTTTCTTTCAACATTACTAATAAACTTCAATATCCGACATCTGTCTGGCTTGCGTGCCATCTCCATTCCAATGGCGTACAGAACAGGGGCATAAATTATAGCCTCGAGATGGAGATGCTGGAGAGAACTTTCAGCATGATTCAATGCAGAGCTTGCTTGCTCGTAACTCAGTTGAAGTGGCATAAGCGGCAATTCACATCCTAGAGACAGCCAGCATGGATCTGAGAAGATATGTGAGATCTCGATTGTCGCAAATTGGTACAGAGTAAGCATGGCGCTTCCAAATGTCCCTAATTCCTGCCGTGAATACCAAAGCACACAAGCAATCATATCGCGTTGGAACTGGGAGGCAATGCAAGTTATATTGATGCCACCAAAATTGCTTTCAGTCGTGTATGTTTCATCGACACTTTGTTGCAGCCTGGACAGGCTAGTCAGTGTTTTCCATTCAATGACCCACCATTGTAACTGAGCCCACATCTCGAGGTCTTGAGCCAGGCAATCAAGGAGCGTGTCCTGGCAATGTGCCAATGTAACCCCTTCCTGCATAAGGAAGAGCTTCCTGGATCCAAGGTGAGGTAATTGACTAGAGACGTCGGCGTTTGGGTCTTGTGGGAGACAGATGGCTCTCAGAGCATTCATAATTCGGGCAAGTCTGCTCATTGACCTCCCAAGCGGGCTGAGTGAGCTACTTGTTTCTCGGTACCGTCTATCAAAAACGTAAAGCTGACGAACCCAGGAATCCCATAGCACTCCAGAAGGGTCCACCAGTAGCTATTCGGCTTATCAGCCTTAGGCCACACGCAGGATTGAGTACTGGGAATAGTTTACCTCAACAAAACTCAGCAGCAGAGCGCACATCAAAACCACTGAAGGGCAATAATCGGTATTTGCCGTTGGTTGAAATTCTGCTGCAACAAAGTTTCGCAGACTTTGTAGCGAGCGAGACAACCTTCTCTTGTCCGTTTGTGCAGGTTTTGCGAGGCATAATGTCCTCCCAGTAAGGACACAGTGTCTTGCAGGAGCACATTTTCATGTAAAAGGGGTGCCAAACAATCCGCTGCGAACACCGTGGTCAAAACTGGAGACGACCCCACGGCAAAGAAGAAGGCACGCTTGTAATTATCCAATGCGGTGACAAGAGGACCCTTGCATATAGCCCAACCAGCATTTTGGTGGCTTTGGACCATGTGAAATTCGGCCTTTGACACAGCTGTCGAATTGCAAGGGGTTCCCTTTTGCTTGCAGGCAATACATGGCCTTCCTCCATCACACTAAATAGCATGATCAGTATAGTCTAGGCAGCTATAGGAAGACAATTCAGACCTTGATGTGATCTCTTCGACAACGTTGGCATCGGTACCCGAGGCGACGCCTGTCCCTAGGCCCGCACGGCATCTTGCCCGTAGTGGGAAATTTGGAAATGTCACATAGGGGGCATCGATGGATAATTAGTCACAAGGCTTTGTTTTTCCCACCTGGCCCGGGTTCTTGTTGAGTGAACAACGGAAGATAGTATCTTGCGGAGAAGATGAGACACGAAGATGGGATCCACTTTCGCAGGGTCGTTTCCTAATATGGCCTAGCGCGAAACACATGGGCAGACCAAAGGTGAAGCATGCTTTTTGTGAACCATGGAACAGTACCACTAGTGGGACCCACTTTCGCAGTATTCATTCCGAATATCACCCCGAGACATCAGCTTCCACTCGCATATGCTACCATAACGGTGTTTCCATTATGACTGCGAAGCCATGATATAGGAGAAATGATGAGATTATTTCCAAGTCTGATATTCATATTAGCATCTTACATAGTTAAGTGTCCTCTCAGGTCTATATAAGGAGGCAGTCGGAGGAACCCTCAAGCCTTGAATTCTTTTTCTCCCAAGACGCTCACAAATATCTTAGAACAGGTCTCAGTCATTTCTCCCGGTCATGTCATTCAAATTCTATGCTCTGTTATTGGCTTTGATGCCCTCCATCCAAGCCACACAAGTCGCAAACTTTAATGTTTCGGAAAGTATTTCTAGCAAATATGGTTGTGACTCAGCCTGCTACAAGAATTTTCAGGAAGGTCTATCTGTGGATGCCGCTTCCTACGGTGCAATTTATGACACAACTTTCTACGAGACCGCCCATAACTTTTCCAGCTCGGAGCCCGGCGATGCTCTCAAATTAGAGCCAGTCAATGCCACTCTCCTCCACGATATCCCGAAGGGTACTACTGCCTACAGATTCCAATATGTGTCGAAGGATCTCGATGGCAAGAAGATTCCAGTTACCGGTTTCATTGCTTTCCCGTACGCCAGCAGGTTGAACGGCCATGTATACCTTGCAATCGCCTATGGTCACGGAACATCCGGTGTGTTTCGAGGGTGTGCACCTTCAGCTATGCGAAGCCTGTATGAGTATGGCAGCTGGGCCTTCTTGGTTTCGCGTGGATATGCGGTCATTGCAACAGACTATGCCGGGCTCGGGAACAACTATACAGCCCATCAATACCAAGCTTCACCGGCACAAGCTCATGACTTGTACTACTCCATTGCTGCACCACGAAAGCTGTTCGGTCACGCGCTCACGGATGAGTGGATGAGTGTCGGCCACTCCCAAGGAGGTGGTGCAGCTTGGGCTCTTGCGGAGAGCTCTCTGCTGCATGAAGGCCCTCTGTCGCTGGGAAGGTACCTCGGTACAGTTGCTCAGGCACCTGGGGTCCGACTGCAAGACATGGCCCTTGCTGCTATCCAGGGCTCGTCTTCATCCGATCCTGCTTCTGCGCGTGGTGTTCTTGTGGAGACTGGATGGCTCGTTCTCGGCTTGCAAAGCATTCTTCCTAACGATCCTCAAACATGGCTACAGCCTAAGTTCCGGAATCGTCTTGAACTTGCGACACTTTCTCAGGCATGCTACGCGTCAATGAGATCGTTAATCGCGGACCGTAATATTACCGATTTTGCCAACATATCAGACCCAAGCCTTCACTTGGCCCTTGAGAAAATGCAAGACATAACCGCCAGGGGCGAAAGCAAAAGTCCCCAGCCTATCTTTATTGTACAGGGACTTTCTGACGTTTCGGTGCTTCCGCAAGTGGTCGAGACCGCATACAATGCTAGTTGTCAATCGGGGAACGAGGTTCACATACAAACCTATCCTGGCATCGACCATGACCCAGTGATTCCCGCTTCGGCACCGAGTTTCCTTCGTTGGATTGACGATCGTTTTGATGGCACCAAGACAACAGGCGGATGCAGTAACAAGATGATCCAGCCATTTGACTCTATCAATATGTACGCTCCGAGCGACGCTAACTGGAGCAATGTCCCTGTGTCTGCTATTTGTTGCCGACTTTGGCATCTGAAGAGTGTTGAGATGGGTGATCGGATTTGGAGGGTCCGCTCTTTATACCGAAAGCGGCCTCTAAGTTACCGTTCCTTACCTTTACAATGACAGTGCACTATTCAATAGAATCTATGCTGCTATCTTCTGTGTAGTAGTAGTTAGATTTTCTCAATGCTTCAAACTCAACAAGGAAAGGATGCTCCTATACTTAATCCAGGGCTAAATGGTAGGGACGCAATAATCGTGTATGAGTACGCAAAGAAAGAGCAACCTGATTTACCCTCACAAATTATCAACTTCGAATGTCTCTATCAAATGTGAGCCCTGGTTTTCCTCCGCCCCCTCACGGCAACATTACCGAAATGAGGGGGATAGAAGCGTCAAGTTGACACCTCGGCCAATTTACATCTCCAGGACCAACCCCAAGACCAACATCTACCATTCAATACTCTTTTCTTCTGAACTACGCTATCCACCATGACCATCGAGACTCACCCACAAGAACAATCTCAAGAACACAAAACACCACCCTGGAACAACCGCGTCCTCGAAAAGCGAGCCACCCAGCTAACCCTGATCCCCTCAGCTTGGCGCCTCCCAGCACCGCTCCTCGCAAACCCACCAGCATCAAGCATAGACACTATCCGCGCAAGTGGCATCCTCTCCGGCGACGAGCTAGCATGGACCGAGACAGCAGATATCCGCGACCTCGTCGAGTTGATCAAATGCCGGCGCGTGACGAGCGAGGCGTTGACAGCGGCGTTTTGTAAACGCGCTGCTATCGCACAGCAGGTTACTAAATGCTTGACGGAGATCTTTTTCGATAAGGCTCTTCAGCGTGCCAGGGAACTTGATGATTATCTGATGCGTACCGGTGAGGTTGTTGGGCCTTTGCATGGGATCCCGGTTTCTGTGAAGGATCGCTTTGATGTTGAGGGATTTGATACTACTGTCGGTGCGTTTTCTGGTCCTTCTTTTTCTGTCTCTCATCTTTAACGTTGTGTTGGGTACTTGCTAATATATGTATAGGTTGGGTGGGCCTGACCAATAAACCCGCTAAATCCAACAGTTCAATCGTGCAGCTACTCGAGTCGATGGGTGCAGTGCTCTATGTCAAGACCAACGTGCCACAATCTCTAATGGTGAGCTCTCTCTTCTGTCTTCCATGTGCATTCTTGGCGAAACACCACTCACCAAACGGCCCGATTAGATGTCCGACTCGTTCAACCATGTTTTCGGCCAATCCGTAAACGCCTTCAACCACGCCCTAATCTCAGGCGGTAGCTCCGGGGGCGAAGGCGCCCTTCTTGGTTCCCGAGGCAGCGTCCTGGGCATCGGGACTGACATCGGCGGTTCCATCCGAGTCCCTTCTAATCTACAGGGTCTCTACTCTATATCTCCGACGACGGGACGAGTGCCGTGGGACTGCTCTTTGTATGTCATTCATTTATCTTATTGTCATACAGAAACTATGATCAGTACTGATACATTTTGGTAGCTCACACCAGCACTACCTCATCCCACCCGTTGCCGGTCCAATGGCTACATCGCTCGCTACGACAGAGTACTTCATGGAGAGTCTCCTTTCATCCAGTCCATGGAATGTAGATCCAAACGTGGTTCCTATCCCCTGGCGAAAGGAGCTCGCGAACCCGCCGGCAAATCGTAAATTGAGACTTGGTGTTGTATTCGATGACGGCGTCGTTAAGCCGCAGCCGCCTGTTGCAAGGGCGATGCGCGAGACGGTCTACACATTGCGAGCCGCTGGCCACGAAGGTATATATATCCCCTCCTTCTTTTTAATTTATACCTCTCCTTCCCTCCATGGGTCGAACAGGTGACATACTAACCTACCGAAGTAATCGAATGGGATACCTCCCTCCACATCGCCATCACCAATCTCTGGACAAAAGGCATTCTCGCCGATGGCGGTCAGCATTGTCGCTCTCTCTGTAAGATAGTTGATGAGCCTTTGATTGAAGGCATGGTTGTCGGCAAAGAGACCGATCTCCTTTCACATGAGGAGCGAGAGCAGGTAAGACATAAAACACCGTTCACACTAATAATGTTTATAAGCCTTATTCCATTCTCCCAATACTCCAAATCAAAATCAAAATCCATCCACGGTTCTAACATTACCAATCCAGTTCGAAGGAACGAAACTCACCCTCCAAACCGCCTTCCTGAAGCAATGGGTTTCATCAGAAATAGACGCCCTCCTCATGCCCGTCCTCCCGTGGGTTGGCTACAAGCCCAAGACGTGGGTGAAGAGCAAGCAGTGGCTGGGCTATACGGCTATGTGGAATCTGCTGGACTACGCGGGTGTTACTGTTCCTGTGGCGAGGGCGGATCGTGATCTTGATTCTGTTGGTAGCGGGTGTAATCCTGAATGGGAGGGACATTCCATTAGGAATGAGTCGGATGCTTTTAACTATTTACAGTGTGAGTGGTTGTGTTCTTTTTTATTGCTTTTGGACGGGTTGGTTAATGCCGATTTTGCTTGTTAGATGATGCCGATATTGTACATGGGATGCCTATCTGTGTGCAGATTGTTGGGGGCCGATTTGGAGAGGAAAAGGCCGTAGCGGTTGGGAAGGTCGTTGATGAGTTGATGAATCGGATTCCGTTTCATCCATGAAGCGGGAAACTACCTACATACTGGGGCAAGATCGAGATGATGAGAAATGCATTCATGAAAACATATATATGAGGAAATGCTTTTTTCCTCTATGGCTTGTAGATCCCACCTAAGGAGCCATCAAATCATAAGAAAAAGTAGATGCAATGCAGCCAGGCCGTTCCAGCCGAAAATCCTTCAGGATATGTCCCATACCTTTCCATGTACGCAACCAACATATCAACAATAATCTAGAATTCGAACTCCTTACGGAAGATGTTCACGTCCATACCGGCCACAACCTGGTCAGCCAAGTCACGACGGCCCATCTGGCTGAATACACGGCGGAGTGTGTCATACAGATTCGTGCTCTGATTCTGGCTGATGTGCAGCATACGCTCGAGTCGCTCGTCATCCAAGCCATCTGGATGCACACCGTCATTGATGATCTCGCGTGCGCGCTCGCGGCCCTCCTGCTCTACAACACGGTGCATAGATAGCGCGCCCAACAGGTGCTGTGCGGCTTCTGGGTAGCAGCCGATGTTGATACAGGATACGCCCAGGTTGTAGCGGGCACGCACAAAATTGGGGTTGATGTTGAGGGCTTGCTCGTAGGCTTCGATGGCTTCTTCGGAGCGGCCGGAGTTGGCGAGGGTTGCGCCGAGTCGGTTCCAGAGGAGGTGGAGCTGCTCTTGTTGGTTGGTGCTGCCGGACTCGGTGGAGGCTAGGGCTGCGGAGAAACAGTCGACAGCCTTCTCGTATTCCTCGGCGCAGTAGAAAAGAACGCCCAACCCGACTTGTACATCGGGGTCCATCTGGGCTCCTGAGGGCGAGAGCTGGGCGGCTTGGATGAATAGTTCTGTTACGCGGTCGTGGAGGAGTTGTCGGTCTGTGAAGCCGAGGTCCGCGTCACCGGATACTTCCTTCGGGTCGATGATCGTTGGGTACTTGTTAGACAGCCAACGCTCGAGTGTGCGGTAGGCGGTTGAATCGTAACCCTCGTTTGTGTACGACACAGCCAATCCCATCAATGCATCTAGATTTCCGGGGTCGACCTTCAGGGCTTGTTCCAATGCACGGATAGCGGGCAATTCCTTTTCGTTCTGCGCCTGCGCAGAGCCCAGCATCGTCCAAGCGTGCACATGCTGCGGGTCTTTTTGAACTGCAGCCTCGAAAGCCAGCGCTGCCAACGACAGATTACCACCCTCGCGCATGATCTTCATTCCCTCCTCGAACGGATTGCCCACAGCCTGGTAGACATTATCCTCCTCGAACATATAGTCGCCGAGCTGGGGATCCCGGAAGCGAGAGTTGAGACTATCAAAGCCATCCCAGTCACCGAGATCACCGACATGCACGTTATCGGTGACTTCAAAGTTATCTTCCTCGGCAAGTTTCCTGCTCGTCGCGGTCTCAGTCTGGACTCGCTGCCATACCGACTCAAACGCGTCATTGGAGGGCACTGACCTGTCCAAATCATTCAGTTCCGCCTCCATGGCCGCATTAGCCTCTTCATCCGTCTTAGCCTCGTTGCCGACTGTCGCAGTCTCCATCTCAGCAAACTGCGCCTCCCAGTTCTCATCGTCAAGCTCCACCATCCGCCCTTTACCCTTATCCTGTGTCTGCCCCTCCATAGGTCCCTGCTGCATCCCCATATGTCCACCCATCATAGGCTGCATCATTCCCATACCACCCATACCACCCATATAACCACCGCCCATAGCCATCGGTCGCTGGTACCCCGCCATCATAGGCGACGCGGTCGCGGCAGCAGGGCTCGACGTCTGCGGGCATACCCATACGGTTCTGCTGTTGGAAGCGGGCGAACTCGGCAGGATTAAACCCAGGTGTGTTGTTCATCTGGCCCGGGAACGCAGCTTCCATGCGTGCTTGCTCCCCCGAGTCGAACTCCTTTGCCCACCCGGGTGATCCTGTGCGGGCAGGCGCCGTCTGGAAGTTATCGAGCTCGCGGCGCATGTGCTCCATTGCGAATGGTTGTGGCGGGGGTCCATTTAACTGCTGGCCTGGTTGTTGCATGAAATCGTCCATCATCTGATAAGGAGTTTCCCAACGCCGAGATTAGTTTTCCGTTGCTGTTTTCCACTGCGGGGAGTTGTAGGCTGTGTCGCTCACCTGGTCCTGTCCGCCCATCATGCTGTGTGAGCGCATGCCTTCTTGCATGCCCGGTCCCCGGCCTACCAGCCGGTCGCGCTGTAGTGATTTATCATCCTGGACGTGCTTCGTGAATTGCGAGAGCGGGTTCCCCGCGGTAGAGCATTCTGCGCCACCGAGGAACGACATGGTGGGAATGTGACGGGTTAAAGGTGAGATAATGAGGTAGAGTTAAACTGTTTAATGCAAAATAGAAATTCAGAGAGAAGTAAAGGAAAGGTAAAGATAATGCATTTCCCCGGATAACCTCCCGAGAGGTCGTGGGGTTTCAAGGCCTTTCCGCCTGAGCCGAGGTTCCCCGACGGCTGAGTCACGAGATTCATGAGGCACCAGGTACAGAGGTATACATGTGGCAACATTTATTATTTGAGGTTATTTGATTCATTTCTCGGCCTTATTTATCTATCAAATACATGTATGTACTATTCGGACTTTCTTTGTTCAAAGCCAAGTGCCCAAGTTCACTAAAACAGTATCAGTACCGGTCGCAGCCACAAGATCATGAGAAAGATACTGACCATGAACCGCCTTCACTTGAGTGTAGGCCGAAAGGGCATATTCACCCAGTTCTCTCCCAATACCACTCTGCTTGTATCCACCGAATGGAATAGCAAAGTGGGAGTCTTGCGAGCTGTTAATCTATTGAAGGTCAGCATATCTCATAACAATTATATCTGCAGGCACATACCCAAACCATGCCAGCCTGAATAGCAGCAGCAACATTATGAGCACGGGTAATGTTCTCCGTGAATAGGGCGGCACCGAGTCCATACTCGGTATCGTTAGCCTTATCAACCGCATCCTTCTGGTCCTTGAAAGACTGGATCACGACAAAGGGGCCAAAGACCTCCTCCCGCACGGGGGTCATATCGCGATTGGTATCCTTGAAGATGATGGGCTTGACGAAATAACCCTTGGCATCCGGGGGAGGCTGATCATCCCCAAGAACAAGCTGTGCGCCTTCCCGCTTGGCAGTCTCGAGATACCCCAGAATGCGACTTTTCTGTGCAGCAGACACCTGAGGTCCGTGGTTCACTTGGGGATCGAATTGGCTGCCGATGATAGAGTTCTCAATGGTGTACTGCTTGAATCTCTCGATGAAATCCTCGTAGATGCTCTCCTGCACATAGATGCGCGAGGTGGATGTGCAAATCTGGCCCATATTGCTCATGATGCCGACGTGTGACCACTTCACTGCTTGGTCGAGGTTGGCATCCTCGAAGACGAGCAAGGGGCTCTTGCCGCCTGTCTCGAGGGTAATCGTCTTTAGGTTTGAGGCGGCCGCCTTCATAATGGCTTTTCCGGTGTTGGTGCTGCCAGTAAAGGCGATCTTATCCACGCCCAGGTGCGATGCTATAGCGGCGCCGGCAGTGGCACCGGGGCCATTGACAACGTTTACCACTCCAGCAGGGAAACCAGCTTCCTTAATCAAAGAAGCGAGATATAGGATTGAGAGCGGGGTTTGTTCCGCAGCTTTGATAACAACGGTATTGCCACAAGCGAGAGCAGGTCCAAGTTTCCACGCTGCCATCTACTTGGCATTAGCATTGCCTGAACGGCTTGAGTCAAGGGGTGCTTTTCTGTGACATACCATAGCAGGATAGTTCCAAGGAATGATCTGCCCGCACACTCCGATGGGCTCGTGTCTAGTATAGGCCAACTTGGCCTCGCTAGTCGGGATGGTCTGTCCGTGAATTTTGTCTGCCCAGCCTCCGTAGTAACGGAAGACAGAAATCACTTCGGCAAGGTCCTCTCCCAATGCCTGTTCATATGGCTTGCCGTTATCCCATGCATCGATTGTGGCGAGAATGTGCTTGTCGCGGTCGCAAAGGTCCGCAAGGCGGGTCAATAGGAGGCCTCGGTCATACCCGGTCAAGGATTGCCATTCCTCCGACTTGAAGGCATTTCGAGCAGATGCTACGGCAAGGTCGATGTCCCCTGGGCCAGCGGATGAGACGCTGGCGATCAAAGATTCATCGTAGGGGTTGACAGTTGGAAGAGTCTGACCGGAGATAGAAGGAACGAACTCATTGTTGATGAACAGTCCTTTTTTCAAACTGTCAGTGACTGAACTTGAGCTGCTGAGGAAGTGATTACTCACCGGTAGGCTGTAAATAAGAAGTCTTGTTAGGAGCAGTCAATTGGATAGGTTGAGCCATTGTGAAGTGTAGATTGAAGTTTATGGGGTTTACAGAATCCTAGACTTGAAGGCTTTATATCATACCGTTCGCAAACAATCAGAATATTTATCTCATTTATGACAAGAGCAATGTCTTTCGGAGAGGAGCCAAGCAAAAAGCGGTTTGGTCGTGGCCTATCTTTTTGCCTATTCGGGAAATGCGGAGTACCATAGATGAGGGGACGCGCGATCCTGTAGTCCCCGAGGATGGAAGTTATTTAACATTTCGAAGATCACTAGGCCCAAATACTTTCCCGTTGAGGTCATTGCCGTGCAAGTTGTCGAAAAATATTCCCCCTAAGGCAAGTAAGAAACCCATCCAGCCTGCCTAGGGTCGATTCAAAGGCCGAAATCTTGGCTATTCTCTCCAACATCCACAATTGATAAAAAACTACGTAGATATCCTCTTTAGGTAGTTTTAAAGCCATGGGCAGAATAATTACCATATTTGAACTGCCTCATTCTTCTGTACATTCTCCAAGGGGCATGCCATAAATGCCTGTTTAAATAGTTTTAACTACTTCCATTCCCTTTAGTCGACAACTAAACTCCCTATCTCCTCTCTATCTCCTTCGTCTACCGATTGCATCCATTATCCAAATCCACCAATAAATCAGAACATGCAATTCTACAACTACGCCGGCACCGAGGCAAACTCGGAATCCTTCCACTACTCGCAAGCCGTCCGCATCGGAAACACTATCAAAACCTCTGGCCAAGGTGGCTGGGACGAGAGTGGCAATGTCCACCCTGATGTCGAGAAACAAGTGGCTATCGCTTTCGAGAATGTCGAAAAGGCCCTGAAGAGTGTCGACTCGCGTCTGTCGTGGGAAAATGTTTACGCAGTGCGCAGCTATCATATCAATGTGGATCAGACGTTTGATATGGTCACCGGCAATTTCAAGAAAGTTCTTCCTGGTCACCGACCCATTTGGACTTGTGTGGAGATTGGAAAGCTTGGGATTGAGGGAATGGTGATTGAAATTGAGGTTGAGGCCCATTGCCCTTACTAGCTGGTTGCAACCATCTTCTAGCGGGCTTTACCATGTGATGAGCTCGTGAATATAACTCGCAATGATACCTTCTACCTTTACAATACATCTTGACATTCAATGATAATCGTAACCGTATTTGCTTTTGAGATAAATCTAAGAATGGATCCGAAATCCAAGAAGGGTGGAGCTGTAATCTCATATCTGACAGATACGAAGCAATCGACTTCACAACATCGAGTTAAACCCAATTAGGAAAGTTTTTGGGCAATATCTACGCCAATTCCACCCGCTCGACACGGGCAAATGGCACCGATAAGCCCAGCTGGACCATTGCCATGGACCATGTCGTACCCCGCAATCGTCTAACCGCAAGTGTAATAGTCCCAGGCTTGGCCACGGGAACCATGATAACAGCCCTGGAGCAAATCGTATGCCGTAGATATATGACCCCTATCTAATGGCTTCTTCAGTAAGCCGTGGCAAGAAGATAAATGGCCCAAATGATTTCCCTTGCTGGACTAGAACAAAGCTTCTTCTCCAAGTACATGCAGTGGGGAAACGGTATAAAGACCAACGCTGCATACCCACGCAATGAATCTACAACCCCATCAGTGTCTTTTCTATTCCCAATCAGGGTAACCAATGGAGAAAAGCATGGAGAAACAAGACCTGAACATAGACTCGTGCGACAAAGTCGAAACCCATGGGCTCGGCACATATCAGGATGAACAGCTATACCAATTGGGGTACAAGCCTCAGCTGCGCCGCACGCGCAAGCTGTCGAGCATGCTATTCATGTCCTTGTCAATTGCCTCTATTCCCTATGGCATCGGTAGCGCCCTTATCAACGCCGTATATGGCGGCGGTCAACTCTCCTCTCTTCATTGGACTTCTGGTAGTGCTGGCACTGGATACCTGCGTTGCCCTATCTCTTTCGGAACTCGCCTCAAGATACCCTACCTCATCTGGTATCTATCACTGGTCATTTCGGCTCTTGAAGACCAGCGGGAGTAGAAAGCTGGTCTCGTTTGTCACAGGCTGGATCTGGCTCATCGGGAACTGGACAATATCGCTTTCCGTGAACTTCGGAATTGCTTCTCTCATCGTCGCAACTGTGTCTATCTTCTATCCTGCCTGGACAGCCTCTGACTGGCAACTCCTTCTCATATTCTACGCCATCTGTCTAGTGGTGTTCATGATATGCTTCTTCGCCGACCACCTCCTTCCTCTCATCGACACTCTCTCCTCAGCGTTTTCGGTCGTCACATGTACCACACTCGCCATAACCCTCCTCGTCCTTGCAAAGACCGGTCGTCACGATGCCTACACAGGTTTCGTTGGGTATGATCCCAGATATTCCGGCTGGGGGGAGCATTTCACCTTTTTCATCGGTCTCCTCCCTCCAGCCTACGCATTCTCCGCACTAGGAATGGTGACCTCTATGGCGGAAGAATGTACAGACCCGGAAGTCCAAATCCCCACAGCTATCAGCCTGGTACCTGTGGTAGCCGGTGCCGCAGCGCTAGTATTCACTGTGCCAATTTGCTTCACACTTCCGCCGCTAGCGGACATCATTACCGCGCCATACGGCCAAGCCCTGCCATATATTATCCATGTAGTGACAGGCTCACCCGCAGCCTCAATCGTCCTCATGGTCCTTGTTTTATTCGTCGCCCTTTTCTGCTCTATCAGCATCACAACCACCGCCGGGAGATGCACCTGGGCGTTCTCGCGCGACAACGCAATCCCATTCTCGCACCTCTGGTCATCCACTGTCAGAGACAGCCCACTGGCAGCGCTGTGCTTGGTTACGGCTGTTGAGATGCTACTAGGACTCACTTACCTCGGAAGCAGTAGTGCATTCACAGCTTTTGCGTCGGTAGGCGTGATCGCGTTGGCTGTAGCGTATGCGATTCCAGTCGCTATCAGTCTGTTTGTTGATCGCCGAGTGGAAATTAGTCAGTCGCGCTGGAAGCTGAATCCCGTCATTGGAAGGGCAGCGAATATCCTTGCGCTCTTGTGGATTTCTTTCCAGGTTGTTCTGTTTAGTATGCCTGTCACGCTTCCTGTCACTAGCGAAACGATGACCTATGCGTCGGTTGTGTTCGTGGGTTGTGTTGCTTTAAGTATGGGCTGGTATATGTTCTATGGGCGGAGATGTAAGACTGAGTTCACCTCCCCTTGACTCAAGGATGAAGACTAACTCGGGTACAGATTTCAAAGGGCCTCTAGAAGAGGCTGGGCGCTCTTAACTTTGAATTTGAGTTCGTCTACCCTACCGTGCTTTTTTTAATTATCCATTTTGGCGTATTCATAAGAATTACATTTATATATTTCTAACACCACTACTCTCTAAACGTAATGAACATCTAGATTACCACTGGAACATAACCTTGGAAGGATCTGTGAAAATGACGCCGAAAATGACTACTTCTGGCGCTAGAAACGGCCGTCTTTCCACTCGTAACTTTAGAAAGCGAGCCGGCGCTTCACCGCCCACCGTCGATCACTATTTTACACCCACCTAGCCTCCCAGCTTTGTAACCTGACAGAAATTAGCTGATTATATAAGCCATATTCACGGCCCGGGGCCCCGGGGCCCCGGGCTATCCCCGACCTTTTTCCCGGGTATCCGCGACCTGTCACCTAGCGCCACCCTTATTTACCTTACAATATATTTAAAGAACGTCACTGGAGTCCGAACTTCTATCCTTAGATTCCTTGTTAGTTGTATAATCCGCCTTTATCTACTAACCCTTATTAATCGCACTGTCGCGTATCACTTCGTAATTATCTTAGACCTATATATATACCTTACAGAGGCGCTCGAAAACGCCTAGAAACTATTACTTATGGCCGGATAGTACATTATAGGCTAGTCTAGAGGGGTCTAGTGTAGGATAGAGTTAAAAATCCTTGTAAGGGGATTGTGAAGAAATATCCTGAATCTAGCAGCCTAGCCAAGAAATGGAGCTTTCTAGGCGCCTAGCATTAGTGGATAGTCGTGCAGCTCGTGCAGCTTGTGCTATCCATCATTCGTTCGCCATATTAAAAGGATGATATCAACCAAGTCGAGAGATGGAGACGGTGTAAAGTAATAATTCTTGGCATGTCATTGACTTATAGAAATGGGTTCATTGGTAACTTGGTATATGGGGAGTTTGCTGTGTGTGTGGGAGAGAGAACCGGAGATGCCTGAAGAGAGAGAAAGAGATATACATATAGCTTTAGCAGAGGGACAGTCAATTCTAAATATATCGAGACTTCAGAACCTCTAGATAATCCCTCCCTAATGGGGAAACTGCGGCTATTGCGATCTACATACTAGTTTCTTTTTTGTCTTAACGAGAATTTTGGTAGTTCAGTATATTCGGCTTAGCCCTATGCATAAATAGCTCTCATTAAGCACCTACAGACATACCTAGATAGAAGGCATTCTGAATACAGCAAGCTGTTTTAAAGGCTATTTTTGATCTGTCAACATCTGAAGATATGGTTCTATTCAGTGCGCGGTTATTTATATATATTCTGACTTTCTTCTGTTGGATATCAAGCACATCTGGCGAACTATTGACCGAGGCGACAAACTCCTCTTTAATCACCGTATTGGCTTCGTCTCGTGCTGTCATCTCCGGCCAGTTGAGCCCTGCTACGATTATAATCTCTCGTGTGACTGGAAAGATTATCGCCGTCTATGATTCCGTTCTCCCCGCTGTCGACTTCCCCGAGGGGACCCTATATACCGACCATTCCCCTTACGTCCTCCTCCCGGGGCTGATTGACACTCACGTTCACCTCAATCAACCTGGCCGCACAGAATGGGAGGGCTTTTACACCGGCACCCAAGCCGCCGCTTTTGGTGGGGTCACCACCGTCGTGGATATGCCCCTAAATGCCATCCCACCTACCACGACGGTTGCGAACCTGAAAGAAAAAGTCGCAGCAGCCCAGGGCAAATGCTGGGTAGACGTCGGCTTTTTTGGTGGTGTCATCCCCGGCAATTCTCATGAACTTAAAGCCCTTGTCCATGAAGGCGTCCGTGGCTTTAAAGGATTCCTAATCGATAGCGGGGTAAATACCAACCTAGGTGTGCTCTTTGATACTGCAGCGCTAACCTCCTTCTAGGTTGATGAATTCCCCGCTGTTAATACGGAAGACATCAAGAAGGCCATGGATGAATTGGCCGACGAACCCACCACTCTCATGTTCCACGCGGAAAAAGAACCTCATGAGGAACCCCTCTCACCAACCGGACCTGTGGACGACTATTTCACTTACCTGCAATCCCGGCCGTCAACCTACGAGACTGATGCCATTGCAGAGGTCTTGTCCCTAGCCCACCTGGCGCCCCAACTAGCCCTGCATATCGTCCACCTTTCCGCCATGGAGGCCATTCCGATGTTACGCGAAGCCCGCGCACAAGGTGTGCACATCACTGCAGAGACTTGCTTCCATTATCTCTCCTTGGCCGCCGAGCAGATTCGCAATGGTGACACCCGCTACAAATGTAGCCCGCCCATCCGCTCCCAAGAGAACCAGGATGCCCTGTGGGCCGAACTAGCGCGATACCCCGACGACGGCGTGATTCAGACCGTCGTCTCGGACCATTCGCCCTGCACGCCGGATCTTAAGCTCCTTCCGCCGCACATCCCTCCCCAAACGGATGCTCCATCACACAACGGCAGCTTCCTCACAGCCTGGGGAGGTGTCTCTTCCGTCGGCATGGGACTCCCTATCCTGATGGACCGAACTCAGCCGCAGGAATAATCTGACGTTTGCGCCGGAGGGCGAGGATGCGAAACGTGCCCTCCAGGATATCGTCCGGCTCTGCTGTATGAATACCGCCGCCCAGGTGGGTTTGGAGAAGCAGAAGGGTGACCTGGCCGTTGGAATGGACGCGGACATTTGCGTCTTCGACGACACCGCAGAGTGGGTTGTCGAGCCATCTACCATGCTGTTCCGGAATAAGATCTCGCCTTATCAAGGCCAGAAACTGAGGGGTGTTGTTCGAGAGACTTGGCTCCGGGGTGAGCGAATCTTCACCCGTGCGGCCGGATTCAGCGATGACAAGCCGTCGGGCAAACTCCTGCTGGAGAGACGGGATAAACGGAATTGAACTTCCCCATCTGTTGGGGCCTTGATGGCACGGCATAGCCCAAATCGAGGCAGTTCGTTATGATCACCAGTGACTAGATGCTAGATACTAGATGCTAGATTAGATGAGATACACAATGTTACAATATAGCAAACCTACTGGCAGATTGGGGTGAGAGAAAGCTAAGGGCATTGAAGGGAGGTTACATGACGGCGTATTGTGACACTAAGCCTAAAAAGGCAAATCTAACTCGAAAGGGAAATTCACAGGTCCGCCCATTTACAAGTTAAATGTTCGATAATCTTGCCGGCCACGATTGGTGCCTAGGTACCGGACGAGACCAGCCGTATGTGTTTTTTAACCCCACACCGGTGAACCGAACATATGACGGCATCTCCAATGGTTTACCACATTGGGAAGGTCAAGGAGTGCCCAGGTGCCCAGGTGGAAAGAGCGAGATACGAGTTTCCGGATTGCGGGGAAGGCGCATCCAATGAGAGGGCGTTAAATGCAGCCCCATCCACGGTACAAGGAGGGATGGATCCCCATAATGTGAAACTCTTATCGGGACGCACTATACCGTAAACAGATGGACACTAAAACTGCCTGGTCAGGTCGTTTATGGCCAAAATATTTGCCTGAATGGGTTTAGCGGGCTCAGTATACACTAGAGTGCCAATCTAAGATGTACAACATGTGTGTGTATACATCGTGTACTTTATTTAAGAGCATCTGCTCTCCAGCAAGACTACAAGTGCCACCGTCAACAAACTTCAACATTGGACGAAACAATGCTCCCCACCAATCTCATCCTTCCATCAAGTACCCTTCCCTTCCTAGGGCTACTCATGTCCGTCCTCACATGGCTAATAGTGAAATGGCCATTCCACCGTAAATCCAGCACTTCTCAAATACAACAACCAGAGAAACAGCCATTCATCAAACCACTTCCCAGCCCTCATCCTGATGATCCGACTTCAAACACTCCCAAATTGTATCGCCCATTCCGACATGGTCCCAACTTCATTACGATGGGGATTCGCAAACTGCACTGGGACAACTGGATCGAAATGGATTCCTACTTTCTTCGATACCACGATACAAAAGCAGCAGAATTGAAGAAGGATTTCAAGGAACATATCAAATACGTTGATAATGCAGTCACGAAAGATGCTTGCTTTGAGCTCAATGAGGAATTGGTCCGTCATCTGACACATCGCTATCCCAAGACCTTCCAATTGGAAGGAGGGAAAGTGCACAATAGCCTCACTGGAGAGGCATTTGCATTTCCAGCAGGTATGCTCAAATTGCTCAACCTTATCACTGCTGCATAAGGTTTCTCAGCTAACTCTCAACTATAGCAACCCCAGACGAGGCTCTCGCGACATCAGCTCTGTTGGTTCAGGATGATCTAGTTCTCATGATGAAAAATGAGGGTATGGTCTCTTCGCCTGAGAGTTTGAGAGGAGCAATATCTAACGGAATGCAGACGGAGAATACCACCTCGACGCAGCCGCTGTCTGTCTGCCTGGTTTCTGGCGCCTCAGGGAGAAGTTCCGCATGTCCTTAGATACGCTTCACTTCGAAGCCGGCGTTCCCCATTATGCGGCCAAGTTACAAAAGGCCATGAACAAGTTCATGCTCAAGCTTACCCCAGATAAGCCAGTGGAGAGAAATAATGTACATTCAATTTCCGTCCTGTCTCATCGATCGAAGGCATATCGTCCTAACAAATATGATAGTTCTTTATCCAACTGGACGACGGACTTCACTGGTCCCACCGTATGGGCGATCAACAAGGAACAGAGGTTGCTTGTTCGTTTCCAGTTCCCTCCGTCTATGTATTGAACAGATGCTAACTACATTAATCACCAGCATGGGCCACCGCCAACGGAAAAGACCTGACCATCGACGAGATCCACTTCCGCTCGGAACGACAGACACTACGTCGGCTGCCACGCTCGGGGGCAATCTTGTTCACCATTCGCACGTATTTTGAGCCAATGACAAAATTGGCTCAGGAACCCTATATTCCTGGTCGGTTGTTGGAGGCTATTCAGAATTGGGATGAGACTGTCTCTTACTATAAAGGAAAGTCTAGCTGGGAGAAGATCTTGATGCCGTATCTAGATGAACAGGATCGATTGCAGCGGGAGCGGGGACTTTTGGAGAGGACGGAGGGTGAATTCCCTTACTAAATTGCATTGCGCGGGCTTCACCTTTTCATTTTTAGGTTGCAGGCTGTGAATCGAGCTCTTTGATAAACGAAGGATAGTTCCCCAACGTAGACACTAAAACATGAACCATGTCCACCTTCCAGTGGGCAGTAACACCATTGGCCATAAGAGACCTCGTGGTGCGTGAACTATATCATTCTTGATCTGATTCTATACAGTTCCACCGTCTCCCTCGATTTCCACAGAGCATAGCAACCACAACAGAGCTGCCGTGTTTGTTATTTGCCATCTTGATCATCGCGTTTTGGCCAACTACTTAAAGCTGTCTCCACCAATCTCGATCCTTCCCTCGTCAACTCCCCTCCAACCAGCCAATCTCTCGGCCCAATACCAAATTACTCTTCTTCCCTTTTCAGCATCACTCGCTTCGTGTCGGTCTACATTACCGTGCAGAAGGGATTCGCGATTTAGGCCAAGGAACAAAAGCTCCCGGGTATGAAAAAGGTATGTCTCGTGTCTCCAAAACGGACCCTTCTCTTATTGATCACGCACTGGACTCTAGATATCCGATGCATGCTTGCACCCATGGACCTCCTTTGGTTACTCAAGATCAACCACTGTCTGATGGAGCTCCAGGCAATATTGAGGTCATGAGATTTGGTCTCAAAAGAAAGATTGTGGAAGTCCTCTGGATGTCTTCTAACATCGACCTGGGCGTCAGAATCTCAAATTGGCCCTGATACTCCCGGATAGGATCTCGCATAAATGCGATAAGCCCACGATGTTACCGAACTTGAGGTGGCAGTGGCTATTATCCGAAGTTCCGACGCTCTACTCGAGCGTTAGAAGGGGGAATAGACGTCGAAGAGTCGCTCGATCAGCAATTAGAGCGCTAGCTGTCGCAGCATGTTGCTTGAATGCATGAGAAATAGGAAGAAGGGCTGTTCCAGGCAATCTGTCCCGGTGAATTATCTCGCTCAAGAAGTGAACGCCCAATGGCAAATATTCCAACTAGGATACAGATACACAGATTATAACCATCCACTGGTCCATTACTCTTTTTGAATCTTTGCTACCCCTTGTGTCCAACAACCTAACCAGACCTGTGAAACTGCCTGAAGAATCGAAGAAAGGACTGTGATGTCCCAGCTTCGGACATCAGTTACAGTTATGATCGCCGCAGTCGCGAAAGAGCTGGTGCTCAAACTCAGGACACAATACAATGGCCAACATGAAGCCTGTCGCCGAGAAGAAAACTCCTTCCAACGACTCCGATGTCACCGAAGGGGAGGCCGACGTGGAAAGTCTCATCTTGTATATAATTCCCATATAGGTCGGATGGTATTGCGAGATTGTAATGAAATATTCTTACTCCGTACATTTCATGGTAATTGCTACGCATTGGCTATATAGCGCCTCGACTGGACCAATTATTCAATTATATCATAATGTTTGCGTCACAGCGAGTAGCAAATGATTGACTGTATATGCTATGTTGTAGACATGTACGATGTAGTACGTGGTTGTACTGTACTATGTCGCTCTATCGAGTTGTCTGCTGAATATTAGATCTCTTCCTTCTCTTTCTCCGTCTCCCCTTCCCAGAGGCCAAACACAAGACACAGACGCTTCATTAAAACCTCGTTCTTGGAATTTTTCAGACCTGTCATGAGTTGTTATCTAGTCTCCTACAGACCGGGCCTCTGTCAACCTCCACGATATGCACCCAAGGTACAATACAGCCACCTTAAGTAAAAATATTGCCCAGCAGTCCTTCACCTGTGGGAAGGACATGAACCTGCAACGAGCGGTATGTGATCCACTTTGCAATCTTCTCGATGTAACACAAGAGTATCCATCCGGATTTGCTTTCATCCCCTGCCAAACTCGAAGGGATTGCCAGTGTATTCGACACTCTACTATACAGCCAAAGAGATTTGGACTGGACGAATGAGTTGCGATACAGAACAATGCCATATCTATCTTCTCAAACTTCCAAAATGGCTACAAGCTCAACTAGGCAACGACGTCTTGGCGCTTGTTGTGCATGTTAATATGCGTCTGTCTAATTTATTATGAAATGTCGAGTTGCAGCATGTGTTGTTGGTCATTGACTTTCATCGGTCGAGGCCGAGTCGTCGGATGAAGACCAAACATGCGGGATCAGGGAAACGGGCATCTAATGAGCTGCTGCAGCAAGTGCTAAGACAAGTGCCTACATAATATTCTGATAAGTCGGATATATTAAAAAAGATTTAATGTATGACAGACAAGAGTACGTTCCCATTGTATAGATATGATCATTTCTGTTTAATATACATCGCGATTCAAAAATGCTCCAGCTTGCCATCTAAGGCATTATTATACACTTCATTATTCATACACAACCCCCTCTACTGCTTCTTCTCAGTCTCAGTCTGCTCGACCACCTGCTCAGCCTCCTTCACCTCACCAACCTCCCCAATCTCATTCACGTCGCGCACCTCGCGCATTTCGGACCCCTTCCTCACACTCGAGAGTGATTCGACCTTAGGGCGAGCATTCAAGGTTTGGCTGGAGGATTTGTTCTTTTCCAGCTTCTTCTGCTGGTAACGCTGGAAGTCCTCAGGCGACAAGACCTTGCGCCTAGCAAAGCTAACAGACAGCTTACGGCCGTAAGGTTCCTTACGGGAGAGAAGCTCCTTGCCATGGGTAGCGTTGCTCTGCTCGATAAAGTCGATGTGTGCAAATCCACGCGGCAGGCCCGTGCGACGGTCGACGGGGATGCGGACATCCGTGACACCCTGAAGATCAGCCAGTAAGTCCTGCAGATCCTGGTCCGTCAATTCGTAGGGGAGGTTTCCGATGTAGATGGTTTTGCTGGGCTTGGTGTCGGCCATGGCTCTGTATGTCGTGTTCGAGAACTGCACCACCACCTCGCGACCTTCCATGATGCCTCCGTGTTGTTGTGTGATTGCTTGTGTGGCTTCCTCGACTGTGCTGAATGTGACGTAGCCGAAACTGTAGGGGAGACTGGGTCAGTGTCTGGCGGGCTTTCGGCTGCGCTGTCAATCGTCGGTGCTTGGGACTCACCCTTTGCTCAGCCCGCGGGCATCGTGCACAATCAGTGCGTTCTCCACCGCACCGTATTTCTCAAAGTGCTTGCGCAGGTCCTCCGCGGTCACGTCGAAGAACAGGTTGCCGACGTACAGAGTGGTCTTTGGTATAGGGCCTTCGCTCAAAAGCGGACGTGGGCGTTCTTGTTTCTGCAGGCGGACTTGATCCGGCCTGGGTGGCTGGACGGACTCAACATATCTAATCGGAATTCGTTGACCGTCTTTATTCGTCGAGTTTAACCGTGTCTGCGTGATGGTTGGGTAGGCGAACCGCATAGGAGTGGGACATGTTGAACGCAGCACTGCGCTAGAGGCGGTGATCGATGAGTGCGAAGCAGCTGTGGATAATTGAAGCCGAGAAACAGCCTGCCGGAAACAATGCCTGGAAATGATTTGTTTAGCAATTATCTTCACATGTTGCATGCGCCAGCAAGTGCAGAGAACATGAGAACATGAGACGTAGGGTCTCGGACTCGGGCTCAGGCTCGGACCATACACTCGGGTATAACTCACATCATGGGAATTAAATAGCACAAGACCCTTTGATCATGTATTAAAAATTATATATTGACTGGAGAAGAATCGCGAAGCCAGATAAGTTTTCCCCGATAAGTCCCGACACGTGACTGATACGCCAACGATAGATCAAAGCCTGGACTAGATATTTTATATAGAGAATATCAGGATATCTAGGGTTAAATGAAGATAAATCTCGAACTAAATGTGAGATATTATAACTCAGAGTGGAAATATATGGCAATAGCCTCATGGTATGGTACATTAAACAACCCCAACACCAACAGAATCCATCAAAAAGACAACATCTTTTCCCAAATCGCCCAAATTCGTCCACCAAAATGGCGATCATAGTCGCTAGCACGCATACCTATCCATCCTGTAAAGAAGTAGAACTTGCTTCGTCACTTCAGTCATCCGATCAAGAAACCAACAAAACATTTCCAGGTATCAAAACGGCCAGCGCAAAGCATTTTCCGGCAAAAGTAGGAGAGAATAACAGTGTAGAATAAATACCAATATAGCTCGTTCATTGGGAGCATTGGCCCCGACCATCGTTTTGTTGAGGCATTGGCGTCATGCCGTATCCTGTCACTGGCACACCTCCACTGTCGGGACTGTTGGAGGATGCTGAGTACATTGTCGGTATCCGCGAAACACCACTAATTGATGGCACCCGCCCTGAGGCCAGAGGACTAGACACTGGAGGCTGTGACATGCCTCCAGACTGTGGGGTTGCCTGGCGCTGTGCATCCATCATAGGCCAAAACTGATTTGTTGTGTCGAGGGTTGGGTTCTGGATGTATGTGTCCCAGGCATCCTAATGTCAACATGTTAGCATTGAGATCCGGATCCCGAAAAAGAAAATCCTTACCCAATCAAGGTTACCTTGAATGTCCGGCATCTGCCCGAACATGCTGCTAAAGGGCGAAAGCGCACCCGGCATTTCGGCCGAGGCGCCCACACCACCTGCTCCTGTTCCCATTGGCGAATCTCCCATCTTGAACATGGGATCAGCGAATGGCGGCTGGCCCGGGTTCATTGGGCTCATTCCACTGCTCAGCAGGCCGAGGGTCATGGCCGCGTTCTGCTTCTCGTCTTGTGGCTCAAACGAAGCAGCACCGGCGCTATTCTCAAGGCCTGGGACGGTCATGTGTAGCTTGCTGAGCATCACACCGAGAACGGTGGATGCTTTCCATGCTTCCATGCTCTCATCACGCGACTCGTCCCAAATTTCTTTCGAGTGTTGGATCGCGGCGGTCATTTCATCGCGCCGCTCTCGGCCCCATGTGTACGTGTCTCCAGATGGCCGGCCGCTGACCTGCAATGACAGGCCGTGGTATAGGTCGAGAGTAACAATGGTGCCTGCTAGTAAGAAGTCCGCTGAAGTGAGGGAAGTTACTCGGCTCTGGCGACTGCGGAGGCGTCCGTTGCGCGTCTCCGCGTGCAGAAGCGCCTGGACCCGCAATAACTCCATTGCGGAGTCGATACATGTCCTCCGAGAATATGTGAAACGAGGATTTTCTCGAGCGCGAACCAGATACGGGCGATGAAGCACACACTGAGCTTTGTCGTATACAGCCATTACCTGCACAAACGGTTAGTATCGATGCGAGTTCCGGCCGCTTTCAGGGGACTTACGGAAAACCGCGACATGATAATATTGATAGGATCCAACTGGCACTCCTCCATAGGCCGAATATGTAAGTGCTCTGGGATCAAGTCCCTTGCCTGTCGGAGTTCTGCGTCGAGTTCCATTACTTTTTCGTATGGAACGGACGAGACAGAAGAGCTTTGTTCAACCACACGACCGAATACATACGACAAGCGCGCCTTAGCAATCAAATACGAGATGGGTGTGGGCTCGTTCAGTTGACGTGGCGGCGGGAGCTCCTTGCAATCTTCATCGAAATCATCGTCGTACAAATTCCGTGGCAGCTCAGTATCGCTATCTGCACCTCGGATCATGCCCGGCAAGCCGACCTGGTATGAGAATAGAATGTCGGCTTGGCGCACAAAGGTCCACACTCGACGTCGCATCTCACCCTGGAAAGGTGTGATGTTTGGGAACATTTTGGAGTCACGGTGATATCCTGATCGCATTGCTAGGCGAGCAACAACGCCAGTCATGACCCAGATGGAGATGTCCGCCTCTCGCGTCAGAGTGAAATCGCCATGCAAGTGAAATACAAGCGCCTCAATCAAGAAGGGGTGGGGTTTCGTGTAGTCAGCCAAGGTCAAGCACTGTGCTACAGAATTTCGGAATCCGCCAGCCATGTCCAAGGACTTGCCCCGGAATTCGGGTGGCTCGTCGCCTTCGCGGTGGTAAGACAGCATTGCTAATCTCATCATTCCAAAGAGCATGGCGATCCAGACGAGTTCGGTCGCGCTAGGATCATCCCAATGTTTATTATACTAGCAGAGTCAGAGCCTGGACTCACAATGAACTTCTCGAAGAGCTTACCTGAGCTTGGAATGTCGGCCCATGAAGAACATCTAGACGAAGTCAGTATCAAAATCACGGGCTATGGAAACGGCAAATACTGACGGGTTGCAGGGTCGTAGCAATTGAAATAGCGAGCAATAAGAATGTCAGTTGTATACTTCGAAGGCAAACCGGTCATGATCTCCCCACGGCTCATTGGCTTATTGATACCAAACAACAAAGTCGAGCCTGATGCATCACTAGCTGGTTGGGACGCTTTAACTTTCTCAATTTGCGCATCCATTTGCTTCTTGTGCGTTGAGAAAAAAACTTTTCACCTCGGCGATCTATTCGGTAAGTTAGAAAGACTCAAGTTTGGTCAAACCTCTCAAACTTACATCACTCAATACAGACGCCCAATGAGCGTCACTGATGTAATAGGACTTGTTATTGTCCATCTTCATGATGCCAAATGACTTTGTCACCTGGTCCGTGTCGCTCTCTTCAGCGCCCTCCATACCCTCCTCTTCGGCGTCGAGGTCATGGGAGAATCGGGTGGAGCCCGCACTACTTTCACCTGAAATCGCGGCCATGGCAGCATTCGGGCCCGCAGACTGGGAGCCGTTTGTCATCAATGAAAGGACCAAGCCTTCTAAGCGATCGATGCGGTTTTGCATATCATCAGGTGTAGTGGACGACTGCTGGGGGTTCTTCTTGCGCGAGTTGGGTTGCGCATAATTACATGAAGCAGCATCCCCTCGTTTGATACAGTTTTCGCAAGGATTTGTACGATTGCATTTCAGCCTGAAACCGTTAGAAGAGGGGAAAAAAAAAAAAACAAAAGATTCCAGCCATGTCTTGAATGCTTACTTTCTGTGCCGACAAGGCCCACATGACAAAGGTACCCGGTTTCGTTTCCGGACGACTCTGTAATCTGGAGAGTGGCCAGCACTCGACGAGTTTGTAGAAGGAGGTGTCGGGGTCATTTTGGTGGGGTATGGCATGATCATGTAAGGGTAATCGATTTGTTGCGATGTCGTTGATAAACCTGCAGGCACAGACGATGCAGTGCGAGTCAAGTCGACGTTCCAGCCGGGCGGGGGTCTTGAACACGCTGTCGTAGTCCGCACAGCTCTAAGACCGAATCAAATGTGCCACTTGGTTGTTCTGTGAGCTCATCCGAACTATCTTTTCGGTCTGATTGCAAGCCCACTCCCGAATATCTGCGCAGAACTCCGAAATCAATTTTGTTTCCTTTCACGGTCGTAGCAGCGTATGCCTAATTGGGCGCAACGTCAATGCCAGTGGATTTGGCTCGTGTTAGGCAACCGCGCCAGGCCTATAACCTGAGATGTAGTTGATGTTGTTCGCGAATACTTTTGAGCTGTCGAGGATATGATCTAGGCCGTACAGTATCACTAGATGAATTGTGGGGCAATGCGACGAAGGGATGTGCGGTGTCGAAGCTTGCGATGTGCGATGGTTGAAGGAGGGGTGAGATGGCGCGCGGGTGGGTAAGCGTGGTCGGGGGCCAAAATCAGACTCGGAAGTCTTGTCGATACTTTCAATCCAAGGGTCGCGATCAGAGTCCCTCTTCGAGTTAATGATAGCAACAAAGAGATGATGAGAAAATGAAGCTAGAACACCTGGAGGTCCCGACGAAATGATGATTAATCCGTTATCTCCGAGGGTTGTGGCTTATCACCAGATGATCTCACCTGGCCAACGCATAGTTAAGGCCAATACATACATATAACTACATAGAGAGTATATATCTTATGATGAAATAATATACTGCCCTCTGTTGGATACACTGATACTCTCTTCCCTCTTGCAAACGCCGCTCTAGTCAATTCACTTAACTCCGATATCATGTTCATTCTCGTTTTTACTATTAGGCTTGCTTTTTCCCTAGTTGATGCCTATTGGCTAGCTATACGACGATCAGTGACTCATAGGCAGAAATCCAATTAAACATGCATATTTCTCGAATTCTAGCTGATTTATCCGAACCCTTGCGCGTCAGATCGACTCCGCACGTGAAAGGGAATGTTTTGACTAGAGATGTCTCGATTCGAAGTTAAGAGTTATATTAGACATAGCCTACATTACATGTGTCTAGGTTCCTATAACAGTATGACACTATACCATATATAATACAGTCTATTATATTTTGCATAGTCATTTACCTATCTATCCCGATCACCTAGCTTCGACATTATAAGAGATATGTTCCGATTTTAAGCTTAAAAAAAGAGGTCTTGGGTGTGTACTTTAGGTTTTCCCCTCGTTTTATCGCTATACATAGATTCTTTAGGTAGTTCCTTGATTAAGTAACCTTGAACCTACGTGATGTCAAATATATATTACTCATGACACGATTGAGGTCCTTTGTATAGGCTGGTTCATTGGCCTTGCAACCACTCGTCTTCATCCAGGAAGGTGTTGGCAGTATATAACTACAGGTCCAAATATCCGTCTTTTTCATCCTCTTTTGTCTTTATGAACAGGTCGGACAAAGAATATATTACCTTGATCGATTGCGTCTGCCTCTGAGACATCTTACTAGCTTTCTTCCCATTTTCACAGACTTGTGCTAGCTGTTAAATTGTTGAGTTCGGCAGTTGAACTTGTTCTATAGAGCCTACGGATAATAATAACTTTGGAGCATGTGTGGCAAATGACGCCATCCGTGCATTCGGTTGGTGGTTTCAAGGCGACGTATGTCTTGGAACTTATTTATAAGAGTTCAAAATATGGAGTAGTGTCCTAAATTTGAGGCATCGAAATACAAGTCACCCTGTAGCGCTGAGAAGGTTCCTCGGTTGTTGAACGTCGTCCCAGATGCCGACGCACGGGCTACAATAAAAGAAGGGGGATATACTGCGCATGCGCTAACCTGGGGAATGGCCTTATTACGTTCCAATGGACCCATCATTGTGGGGTTTAGCGAATGGATGATTTGTACAGATGCTTCCTGGCCGAGATACGTCTCATTCCTACCAACCACCATCCTTCTTCGGATATTCCGACATGCACAACTGCCGACCGCAGTGTCTTTGTGAGCGCCAAATCGCCCTCGGATAATGACCTCCTTCTAGCAGGGAATATTACGTGTATTATGTGAGGTGGCTCTATATATACCGTGTCCTCCTCATGGCTCCTGGTTGAAGTAGATCTAAGCGATCGGATACAATTATGGCTATCATTACAGCGGCTTTCCCTAGTGATGCACTTCACTATGTTGTATATGCAGTTCCTCTTCTGTTCTTACTCTACCTTGCCCTCAATTATTTCTACAATTCATTACACATCTTTCCAGGTCCTTTCTGGGCACACTTTACTGATATCTGGCGGTACCTCGATGTGAAAGGTCGACGCCCGGAGGTCACGCATATAGCTCTGCATCGCAAGTATGGCGATATTGTGCGCCTTGGACCACGAACTTTGTCCTTCGCCGACCCAAAGGCAACGAAGGTGATCTACGGTCTAAACAAGGGTTTCACTAAGGTAGGGATACGCCGAGCCCAGAGACGTCTACAGCTTCTAACTGAGAGAGACAGTCCGAGTTTTACCCAGTCCAAATGACCGTTTCTAAAGGCGAGCCATTGCCATCGCTGTTCTCTACTCTTGATGAAAGCTTCCATGCGAATCTCCGCCGTTCTGTCAACAATGCATTCTCGATGAGTTCATTGGTACAGTATGAACCAATGGTCGATGAGACTACGGAGATCTTCCTCAATCAAACGGACCGCCTCTTCGCTGATGGAGCCACAGTGTGCGATTTCGCACGATGGCTACAATTCTTTGCCTTTGATGTTATTGGAAGCATCACCTATAGCAAACGCCACGGTTTTATCGAGAAAAACGAAGACATCGACGGCATTGTCAAATCCCTGGCAAATATCTTCGATTACTCTGCTCCTGTTGGTCAGATGCCATGGCTGGATAAACTGTTTTGGAAGAACCCGATATTTGATATCCTGCAGAAATTGGGCTTATCAGATAATTCGCACCCTGTGGCCGTCTTCGCGAAGCACCGCATGGAAGAACGTATGTCAGCAAAAGGTGCTGTAACAGGCCCGGTGTCAAAGGATGATCTTCTCACTATGTTCATCAAGGCGGGTGAAAGCCGTCCAGACTTCATGACCAACAAACGAATCCTTACCATGGCCACCTCTATGGCCTTTGCTGGGTCTGAAACCACCGCCATCAGCATTGCAGCCGTGTTCTACTATATACTCAAGAGCCCCGAGTGCATGAGACGGGTTAAGCAAGAACTGGACGACGCTGTTGACAACGGTACGATTGCGAACCGCCCAACGGGACTTGTCTCATGGACAGAGTCGCGGCAGCTCCCCTATCTCGATGCCTGCATAAAGGAAGCTTTCCGTATGCATCCCGCTGCGGGACTTCCTCTGGAACGTGTTGTTCCTGCGTCGGGGTGGAGATCTCTGGACATTTCATTCGGGGTGGAACAATCGTTGGCTGTAGCCCCTGGGTTATTCACCGTCGTACAGACATCTTTGGTCCAGATGCCGATGTATACAACCCTGATAGATGGCTTACTGCTCCACCGGATCAATTGAAGGTTATGGATGGAATGATGCTCCAGTTTGGTGCTGGTTCCAGGACCTGCATTGGGAAGAATATCTCTCTAATGGAGATTTATAAGATTATACCTAGCTTTTTGCGGAGGTTTGAGGTACGTACTCCTTTTCTGATGAGGCAGATACCGGTGATGCTGACTCTTTTGATAGGTGCAACTAGCACATCCTGACCAAGAATGGAAATTGTGGAATGCGTGGTTTGTACGCCAACATAACTTCAAGACGATTTTCACCCCGAGAGAGATCATAGTATAGTCCACCGTCAGTCATCCTTTATCAAGCATTGGAACTGGAAATCCGTATGTATTTATTCTTTTAGAATGCAATTTCTCATAAACTTCGGAGTTGGTAGGTCTGTTAGACGAATGAAGACAACTCTGACTATTTGCAAAATCTGACCAATGAGAGCACCGGTAGCTCATTTGGGAGAGCGTGCGATTGCAATAGGCAGTCATCGCGAGGTAGCGCGTTCGATCCGCGCCCGGGGCTGTATAATTCTTTTTTCTCCCCCCACATGTTCTTGTCATTGCGGAATCTGAAACACGCTTATAGTATAGCATCATGTTTCTGTAGCACCATATTGCTATCGCCATGGAGAGCCATAAATGTCTCTTTCTCCCACTCTTCACTTTTCCCATTTTCCAGTATTGTGAGCTTGCTAGGTCTTGCACAATGTCAATTCAAAATATAGAAGACGGGGAAAGAAAAGGAGCAACATCTGGATCAGCTCTGAGAGAGAGCTAACATACCAAGGACATATGCAAACAATGCAAACTATCCTCTCTAAGCATGTGTGTGGAATATGATCACTAGTTGGTGACACCCAGCCGGCCTATGAAGATCGATACGCGATGGAGATCAGTATGAAAACAAGATGTGTATGGGTCCCAATGGACAGACTGTGGAGTGGAAGAGGAAAGAGAGCGGGAGATATTCAGAGCTCTCCATGGCCGTAGCAAGCAGGTGCTATCCAAGACCATATCTAATTCCTAATACTGGAATATATCGAGAACAGTAGTGCTCTCCAGTCCAAAGCGTCAATGCGATTCCGAAATTGATGTTAATTAGTGAATATGGGAATTGAGGCAACCATGTCCCCAACAGGACTCAGGTGCGGAAATGGCTTAGTTATATATAACAAAAAAGGGGGTGGAGTGGTTGATTGTTGCGCAAGACAAGAACTGCGAGAATAACTAAATACAAGCCAAGATGCATCACTGAATTTTTGCTTAACTGATTAATTTCAGTCTATCACTATGCGACAACTCATCTCAATCCTCTTGTAGGAAGTAGGGGATGTGGGTATAGTTGATTTACTTTGCAATGTAGATTTCCTACCTTTCGTTACATGGTATTGCCATCTTTGGAATGCCTCCACGCCCTGTCAAACTCTTTCCAACCCCCCAGGCGGCGCGTCCCACATGGCCAACTCACGAACCACTGTCTCATAGCATCCATCGCTGGGCATATTTCCCTGACAGACATTTCCTCCAACAGCGATGTTGATGAGGATTCTGAACTCACTCATCTTCCTCGTGCCAGGCGGCTTCTCGGCCCTCATGACGGGCCTGCCATCAATCAACCAGACCAAGCGCCCCCTACCCGTTGTTTCGTCCTCGTCCCAGATAAAATCGTACCTCACTCCCGCCGGCGAGCTAATGTTGGGGATGGGGGTTTCGAGAACGCGATGCTTGTTCCAGTCCTGACCGTTGAAGTGGCCCCAATGCAGACAAGTGTGGTTGACAGCATCGCCGTTCCACGCTTCCATTATGTCGATTTCGCCATCCTCGGGCCACTTGAAGGGGTCTTTAGGCAGCAGCCAAAAGGCAGGCCAGATACCTCGGGCCACCGGCGCCGTAATTCTGGCCGATAGACAGCCCCGTGCTCGGCTGAGGGTCTGGTGACTCGACAGTCTGGCGCTGGTAAACTTCTGGGTAGGGTCGGGATGTCCGTGGTTGATCAAAGCGCGCACGATCACCGCATCGCCCTGGGGTGAATGGAATGAGTTTTGCGGGCTGTCGATGTAATTCTGCGACTCGTTGTTGCCCCATCCATGTTGACCCTGTTCGTGGTAAAAATTGGAGGACACCGGTGCTTGAGGGTGTAGATTGGGCTGCCAGTAGATCTGAGGTTGCGAGTGTTGTTCCTGATAAGCCAGTGGTTTGCTAGAGGTTGGAATAGGCGGTGGAGGCCTGTTGTACGACGATGCCTGAGGGGCGCGTTGGCTTATTTCCTCCCAAGCCTTGTCTGCCTTATCGATAATGCCCTGAAAGGCCTGTCTGAATGGCATGTTGAGTACGACCTATGGGTGTTAGGTACAAGTAGCGGACGCGGGAAAAAAAAAGTAAGCAAAGCTGACGTCATATTGTGGGTATCCCGAGCGGATCGACCTCTGGAATTCTTACTCCTTACAATCCCCTTTCACACCCTTTCGCCATACTTCGGGAAATATTGCTCCGAGACTGGACAGATCTAATCAGTGGACACAATATGTCTTACTCAGGTCCTATAAAGGATAGGCCGACTCATATCTATCACATCACTACTTGCTAGGCCTGCTAAGTATGTAGTGCCTCGGGCACCGAGAGTATGCAAACCCCACAAACTTCTCGGGAGCGCCAAACTTTGGCATCGCAAAATTTCGAGACCTTTTAACTCCTAATATATGGCCGATCTAGTGTGCTAAAACTTAATGTTATTCACCTCATTTCACATCTTTTTTTCCCCCGACATAATCAATACCATTACCAACACGTGCCCCTCTGCTCGTACTATCTCCAAGTATGGCAGAAACATGCCATCACCATCCCTCTACAACAGAACTCTCCAAAGCAGAGCGCTTCAAAGCTACACACCTCGCCGCACGCCATGGCAACTACCACCAATATTACGCTAAGTTCCGGGCGCCCACTGTTCCGGACGAGCGCCTTTCCATTCTCCCATCAGATATCCTCCGCAACGCGCGAGTCATAGACCTAGGCTGCAACGCGGGCAAACTGACCCATGAGGTGATAGCGCACTGCGGCGCGGCCTCCTCAGTCGGCGTCGATATTGACCCGTGGCTGGTCGAGCAGGCGAAGGCGACGTACCCGAACGGGCCGTGCACATTTGAGCACTTTGACTTCGTGGATGCGTCCGCGTACACGGGTACCGCGCTAGGCAAGTTCGACGTTGTCCTGCTGCTCTCTGTGACCAAGTGGATACATCTCAACAACGGGGACTCCGGGATGTTGACGCTATTTGCGCACATACACAGAATACTGAATGATGGGGGTTATCTCGTCGTGGAGCCGCAGCCTATGAGCAATTATGCGAGAGCTTCGAAGAAGAATAAAGAATTGAGAGAGATGTATAAGATGATCCAGATCAGGCCACCGTTTGAGGATGAGTTGAAAGCGCAGGGATTTGAGAGGATACTGAAAGTTGAGAGGGACGAAGAGGGGTTTGCCAGGCCCGTACATGTTTGGAAAAAAAATATCATAATACGATCAATGGGGATGGCTAAATGAGTTGGTGAATTGACTCCGGGAAGACGTAGACTTTTTTGGAGGTAGAAAGATGACAGACAATGTATATTTAATGCGGTATAGAGTGATTAAGATTTGTTGAAAAGATTTGTTGAAGAAAACTCAATGACTACCCACCGTCCCTTACTTAACTAGGAGGTTTGGTTCATCAGTGTCGCGACCTAGGACTCTCACCCTAATTCTCACTCTGTCTAACTATAGCGCACTCATCCTTCCTATCGCCCTATATCATGCATTCTACCACTCGTAACCTAACGCATACGACCATAGGGTGTGGAAAACAGGGCTTCCCGCCCCCTTAGCCGTACTTAAGCCAAATATTATATATGGCTAATACTTAATACGGCCTTAGTATCTAAGCAACACTCTTAGGGTGAGCGCGGGTGATATAGTACTTAGCCCGTCCTGAGTAAGATGTATAAATTCAAGCCCCGGGCCCTGCAGATTGAGTCTCAGGCGGACTTACGTCCACCGCTCTAAATCTAACTGGGTATTCAGTTTGTGAACTGGTGTCCTCGTCCCCGGAGCCACAGCTGTGTGTTCGTATTTAGAGCTAAATAAATGCGCCCAGTGCGCTTCTGAACAAACACAATGAAGGGCATACACAGTATCCAGAGGAGTATTCTAAGACTACTTTCCGTCCGCTTTTCGTCTGCTCTATATGTGGGTTGATATTGAACCTAAGTAAACCTATCTGGAGATATTCATTGCCATATAAACCAGTGTTGACTTGCTGGAACTGTTCATTAGGCGGCGATCCTAGGCTCCTACCACACCACGAAGACGTTTAGTAGCAGCGTTTCTATCGGAAGTTAGAAATGTCCGCTCGTAGCAATAGTATTCGGGGAGAATATAACATACGCAGCAGGCCCGGACATTCCCGGAAGAAGAACCACACTGGACCAATCCCCTATGGACATTAGGACCTCTTGAATCGATTGCCTACCGCTCGAAAGCACTTACTGGGACTCGCAGGAGGCTCCGTGAACGACCTATTAATATGTTAGATGTCTTCTGCGCTTAAATGACGGTCAACTATGATATATACCTTGCAGCCTTCACCCTGCTGTCTAGCTTCTAGATTGGGGGAAGCGAAAGCGACGGCCAGGAGGGCAGCGAAGATAGCAATAACACGCATATTGAACAATAGTCAAGTTTGAGAATTGAAATAGGTTTTATTGGATTGGTTGTTGATTGTGCGATGATAAGAATGAAGTGAAGGGGATATTGCCTCCTCTTTATACCTTTACGTCCCTACGGCCTCTTCCCAAACAGGAAAAAAAGTAATGTATTGTAACCTGGCGCAAGTTCTCTGTGCAAGGATTCAGCCTTGTATATCTGTCGATCACCGCCCTAGGATCTGGGCATGAGCTATGATCTTCGGCCAGCCTACATGACTTCTCTACAAAGAGTTAAGTGTTTAGATTCGAGTCAGCAACTCTGACATTCTTACGTAGTTTTTTCTCTACCCAAGTGGACCCGATACCGTATCTTAAGTTTTCATCATTAGCCAGGAGCTAGGGGACTGCCGACACCCCGCAAATTTAGCCCATCGGAGGGCAGGAATACGATCGGGCGTTGAGATCGACATGGTAGGTCGTCACCTTGTGATTTCCCGCCTAAGCCCGTGCAGGATGACGGCGTCGTCTATATGCACACCAGGGCTGACTTCTGTGGGGCACGGTCACTAGGCTCATTTGTTTGACGTTTCGGCGTGAAAAGGGTCCTGTCCTTACACTCTACCGTATCAGGAGATATTTGCTTATACTGAGGATGGTCTAGGCAGTCGTAGCTTCAGCATTGGTATCAATCGCGTGGGAAATGAATTATACTAGCCTGAAATCTATTTGCTGTACCAGTACTTTGTATTTTGAACCATTCCCATTTGATGCAGTATCAGGGCTCCCCCGCCGTATCAGGCCCCCCGGGGGTGTGTTATGCTCCTTGGCGATGTAGGCCAAGAACAAGATGTGAGATATCTTCTTGTGTCCTCTTTCCCTGAACTGCTGGCATCGGCATTACATTAGGTAGCCTGTACTATTTATGGAACTGCCTATCAATGGTAACTGTAACTGACCTATTGATTTTTCCGAAAATGCCAAATGTATATATAACAAACCCGCCCGGTATAATATATCTAATTATTTTTATTAAGAGGATTTTAGGTACTAAATCCGCTACTTATATAATTGCGACTAATATATAAAATTTAAGGTATTCGATTAACCGGAATAGAAGATAAGCGACTATAAGGAATTGTAGTAGCTAGTCTTTCTAGACTGTTTAATTAAACGTTCTATATATTAAGGAATCCTAGTTCTAAATGATAGAGATATGTTTACAGGTTTTAGTGTAGTCTATTAGCAAGTAAATATATAATAAAAATGTCATATCTTTACACGGTAAAAAGATAGTATCATTCTGTTTCTTGGCATTTTCAGTTTTACTATACCACTTCCGGAGTTGTAAATTTGAAGACACATGAATTAAACCCCAAAGTAAATCAAGGGTGCCCATGAAAGAGTATTCTTTGGTCTCTCTCTCTTAACCGCTTGAATAGCTTCATGTAAAGCATAGGCGACATCCCCCAAATGTCCATCATTTCTGAGCTGTTGGCCCAGAAGCTCGTAAAATTGCCGACTGACTTTAACTGCAGTCTTATCACCCACCTCCCAGATCGTTCCAATAACGTGCGGAAACCCAGCCAGCTGAAACGCACTTGCAATGTGGATTGATTCGTCCAGAAGCTCGTTGGACGAATTCTCTGCTGTCGAACACGCAGAGAGGTAGGCAATTCGAGCCTTATCATGATCCAAAGATGCTAAGTCTCGTACTGTGAGTTGGGAAGACCCCCGCGCATCATTGTGTGAAGATAATTCGAGGGTGCTAGCTGAAGGGTCGATTGGATTCGATTGTCCATGACATGAGAAGTGAATCAAGTCGTGCTTTGGAAGCTCCTTCAAGACAGTTTCACATTGTGGCTCATGGAGGACCGTGATAGAGGTATTATGCTGAAGTCCTTTCCTTACCCAATCAAGCTCTGCGGTTGTTTTTAGAGGCTTGTGGCCTTCCTTATTGGGCGCAGAGACCATGAGGACCTTGAGGTCCTGAGAGCGGGAACTTTGCCCTGCCCTCTGTAGAGAGAAATCCAATGTTTGAAAGGTAGTTGTATAACTGGATATAGCATAGTCCATCGCATTAGTTGTCTGGTCCCCGGCTGCATGCAATGGCAAAAGACCCATGTGGCCGCTGGTGACCCAACAGATGCGAGGAAGTGGTCCCGTAGGTTTCTCTGATTGAATGAGGCCTATATGATAGAAGACAGGACCGACAGCAACTTTCCACAGCCATGCCAGTATTTCTTGAAGTTCTTGGTTTCGCGCCGAACGGGTTTCTACAAACCCTCGCGAAAGCCGATCTTCTCCAATCACTCGTTTGACATTGGCTTCCAAGGCGTCATAATGAAGATCGTGTAGGTGCAAGCTTTCAATGTGTTTATTTGTAACAATCAGTGCGTCGCTCCGCAGCCGTGTGACATTAAATGCCACGATCGGCCCGGTCAATGCGAGTCTCATGTAAGTTTCAGCAGATGAAGGCTTGAGGAAGTCCTGGAATCCAGGCTCAGCCCGAATCGTCGATTCCAACTTCTCGAGCCTCCTCGTGATCTCCATTCGATCAGAGCCTGTTATTGGAAAAAGAATACGTGATCGGCGAGCCTTGCTTTGGAGCTCCTTGTAACTCCACGAAGAACTTGAAGAAAAGTTCAATAGCACCTGTTGCCGGAGTTGAATATACTCGGCGTGCAACGGAGGCTTATGCCTCTTAAGCTTGGAAATATCAACCTTGAGATCGATACTGTGGCCAGAAATTACCCCCCTTCCAGCCTCCAATATCTGAAGTGCCTCTTCAGGTGTACCGCCCGCATGGAGAATCGCAGAAGCAGCCTGCGAAGTGAAGCTGGTAATATTTTTCAAAGCGTGTTGTTGATCATCACGACTTAACCAACGTGGAACAAACAATGGGAAAAGCTGGTTGACCTCTCTTGCTACTTGCACAGCGTGGTCCCACTTTTGTGCAGTGACATAAATTTCAAAGGCCTTTCGCCCCGCTATGATGCGATCAAGGGAGGAGAATTCAAATGGCTGAGGGCCTGGATGAAAAGGTCAAGCGGACCTTGAGATCCAAACGCTGGTCCATCAGCCTGAATCATGACTTTTGCCTTGTTGATAAGATACATAGCCCGGTTGGGATGAGTTTCTGCAGTCGTGCTCAAAGCTCTCGAGTGAACTTCAACAGCTTCTCGAATATGGGGGGGATTCACCCGTCACTGGGTAAAGACACAGCAAATCACCGAGGCTACTCAAGAAGCCGTTCCTCCCTGGATAGTCTTCCGGTACTTCTTGAAGGGCCTCACGAGCTACTTCAACGGCTCGGTGTAGGTTGTCCATCGAATTCTTTTTTTTGAAGCGGGACTCATAGAGCATGCCCAGACTCTGGAGAATGCTGGCTCTTGTCATGCCATGACTAGGAGCCAGCGCCAGTGCTTGATTTGTAAGATCAATTGCTTTGTCCAAGTCAGACATGTCATTTGATCTGTCAAAATAATAGCCCTGCCCAGCTCCTAGGGCATAGAGACAAGCCATTTGGTCTGGATGATCTTTGGGTGTGTGTTCCTTGCATTCTTGCAGCAAATACAGAGATTGATTCAGATCAATTAGTGATCCAAGATGTTCGTACCTTTCCAAAAGCTGCTGGCTCAAAGCATATTGTAAGCTTGCTGTGGCAATCTCATCGTCTGAAACGGAGTCCAGCCCTTCTTTGATGATTTCGATCGAACGTTCTAGACATGGTAGAGAGCCCAGGGCGTTAAACCGAGTCTGTAGAGCACGGCTCAGCTGTAAAAGCGAGTAGGGACGGAGCGGATGATCCACACCAGCCAAGTTCACAGCTTTTTCGGCGAATTGGATGGATGTTTCAATGTCTCCGAGTGACCTCGTCACCTCATACCGGTCACAAAAATGGCGACTGAGCTTACACAAATCGTCTTGTTTCGTCAGTCTCTCGGTGTACTTGTCGTCCAATATCCATTGGGTAAGTGCGACTCCAACAGCGAGATCATTGCTAAGTCCCAAGTGAAGGTATCTTTTATGCAAAAGATCACTGAGATCAATAGTCATGTCAAGGAGTTGTAAGTCATCATCCATTGTTGCTTGGCGTGCCCTCTCCATCATCTCGATCGCATGTTGCAGGTCGTCGATGTTTCCAAAAACCCCGTATCGGGTGGAGAGTCGATGTGCCATGTGATAGAAGTAAAGTGCACGATCCTCATCATCTTGACCTGAGGTATGCTTGAGGACATCCTCGGCCAATTGGATGGCTCGACTCAAGTAGGAAGTATCTTGTCGAAAGTCTGACTTCGCGTCCAACAACTCTCCCAGGTGGTCTAAAGCGGTCACCAGTCTGGATTCGTCATGTTCGATAGCAGGTATAGATCCCTCTTCAAGTCTGATTGCTTCTTCAAGATCGGCTCCATTGTTGAACCAGCCAGATCGATCATAAAGAAGCGTACTGAGGTTGTGGCATCGATCTGCCAGCAATTGTTTGTCTTCCTGAGGGGTCATTTCCACCGCTTGTCTTGCGAAATCTATGGCGTTCTGGAGGTCATCCGGAGATTCGGATATTTCAAAACGGCTGCCCAGCGCATCGCTCATGTGCATGCAGAACACTTCATCCAGTTCTGGATCTTCATTGATCTCAAGTGCTTCTGATGCATAGGCAACGGCGTTGTCTATATCCTTGAATTCCCGTAGTCTATGAAATCTGGCAGTACATAAACACGCTAAACTTCCCAGAACCATGCTTCTCTTAGGATGACCTTTTGTTGAATGTTCTAGGGCCTGTTCCCCTAGTTGGATTGCAAGGCTTAGGTCGCTCAAAACTTTGGCTTTGGAGAAGCGAAAGCCGTAAGTCTGGCTCAGTGTGTATAAACACATAACACGCGAAGTATCTGAGATACCGAGATCCAAGCCTCGATTTCCGACCTTAATGGCACGATCAAAGTCGTGTTCATCCCCACTCGCTTGGTAACGATCACCAAGGGTTCTGGCCAGGACTTGCAAAATGACAGCATGTTCCGAAGGCTCCTGTGGTATGGCATCTGCCTCTTCAAGGTATCGAATGGCTTCGGAAACATCATCAATCTCATGGATATGGTCAAATCGCAAGGAAAGACATCTTGCTAGATGGTAAAGACAATACACGCGTGCGGAAGACACTGTGCTCGCCAAGGCTTCACGAGAGAAGGCTATTGACTGACCAAGTGCATCAATGCCGTCGGTTCCAAGATACTCAATGAATAGATTCAATGCTTGGGTCCACAAGCTTGACATGGGTGCAATGGTGACGATTGGCTATTCAAATTGTTAGCGTTCGAAATATGCAATTATACCATGCTAATAACGCGGCAGCAACGTCACGTCGGGGACAAAGCTGTTATCATTGGACATATCTCATCCTCGCAATCTCGGCTTCATTACCTATGTTAGAATAACTGCGCGATTCCGGGACCTTGCTTCTAACCCAATTAGATCACTAGCGTGTAAGGATAGATTCACATTAATCGGCCATGTGTCCATTCCTCGAGCCTAAGACTTTATTATTACACAATCCCCGCGACGCGCTCTGGACCTCCATTACTCTCATCACAATCTTTCCACTCGAGGAATTAACCCAATTTGTGTGAAGTGTCTCCTAATTCTCTTTTCAACTTCTTCAGCCGCCTTAACGGTCCTCCGACTCTGGAATCAATTATTTATCATGCCTCCGAATATAGTTCTGGGGCGCACCTTTTTCTCCAAGGATGATGTGAAGCTTGCAAGCTTGATTCCAAACATCGCAGACATGGAGCTGGACGCGCTGGACAGTGCATTACCACTCGAAGGAAGTGACTACACAGTCAGAGAAATGGACGACAACATTGCCGCGCTGAAAGCAGAAAAGGGCCGCGACTTCCAGGCGCGTTTGTCCAAGTTGTTGGATTTGACCTCTCAACGTTCAACACAAGCGGGTATGCAGTTGTTGGCGCGAGCAGGGCGTATTTATACACTTAAACAGCCCTCGTCATGGTTCCGTCGGCTCTGTGAGTGTATTGAGGTCCGGGAATGGCTCCAGGAGCAAATAGAAGATGGAAATGACGTCCATTTTGTGGTCGGACTTCATACTCTCTTCGATACCATAACGGCAGAGGGCCTGGCTTTGAGGTCTACTCATGGCGGCACCCTCACAGCTGCCGTAGGTGGTTTAACCGGGTTACCGATCAACGACTACGCAAATATTGGCGTATCGGCATCCGCCAACAACAACCAGGCTACCGTACATCGTTACGTTGCGCCTGGAGAGCAGGTTTTCGCTATTCGACTGAAGAAGGTGGTGTTTCGTTTTCTGAAGCCACGCGATGTCGGCAATGCCCGTTTGGGAAAGACTAGTAGATGGGAGATGTCGTCGGATAATCGAAGTGGTGGTGAGGAATTCTCGGAGATCGTGGAAGCTTCTTTGGATGACTCTTTGTCTGACTCTGAATATGATGATGGAGATGAGTATGTCAGGGGACTCGCAAATGATAAGGCTGAGTTCTACGTTGTGCAGGAACAAGGCCTTTCCTAGAGAACTTGCAGAAGACCAGGACTACTCTGACCACCGTTCATACATACCTGCCGATATCTACCTGTAAACATTGCTTTGGTCACATCCTCACAACAATATCAAGATAAGCCAATATTCTTCAAAAAGACCCGTCATGCACGCCGTCACGATGGGTCGCAATACTTAGACCCTTGAAAATTGGCCACAAAATTGAATCACAGTTTATGTGGCTGGCCAAAACGCCCCGAGGTGACGACTCTATCATCAACTAAGATCTCAAAAAAAGAAGTTATCGGGGCCTACTACGCCTTCGAATGGTTGTTGCCGGTCAAATCCACAGTATCATTGTTAAGACAGTTGACCCATAGAAGGAAGGCGCTCGCTGAGTTATGATACCACTGAAGAAAACAAAATTCCCTGGACCAAACGTTCCCTTCACTCCACGATTTTGATGCCGTAACACTCCGTCTGTCAGAAATGCATTCTTGTTTTAGGGAATTGGTCAGCTTGACAAGAGAAAATACCATCTGAAATGGAATACCTAACATCGTTTTGAGAGGCTATAGTTTCGAACCTTTGATACCTTTATCAAGAGAAGAATATTTGGTTGGTCAACATATAACTGTCTCTAGTACAGTGGTATAGATAATGATAGTCTACGTCATGATAATACTCACCCCTCGACCTTACACTTCCTCAACCATCTTCTGCGGATAGATTAAACATTGCCACCAATTTTCAGTCACTACCGTATTACCCCACTGAACATAATTCCCAGTGACCATAAAGGCACAACTGATAATGTAGGAAATGGCAAATCTTGGTGAATATCGGTGCAGAGTTAGGTTTATAAATCCCTAACTGATGAACAGCAGGAAGCAAAAGGGTGATTGAAGGTGGAGCGGGGCAAAGCGAAGTTTGTGATCAGGGTGATTAATCCAGGATGAGACACTCGAGGACCTGGGTGGCCAGTTCAATATGAAAAAGTCCAATGTAACTATTTGATTCCCCCTGCCATATTGCTCTAGTAGAGGGACTAAGCGAATATATACCTAGGTAGAAGTCCACTGGTCAGCCAATCAACGACAACATCGTTAACGGAATAGTAGTTGCAGCAATGTCAACAATATCAACACATTCAATCAATTGAGCGAAGGATTGCAATGAGCCGGATCTGCTCGCAGGAACTCCTACTGTAAGCAAGGATACCCCGTGTCCATCGGTTTGCATCACGGAGTGGTTCAGTACGCACCACAGTCATTCCCACCTGCGCTTTCGCCTTTTCCATCTTCCACTCTCAACCACACCACGGAAATTCCTGGTATATATTTGCTTTCCACACGATACCAAGTACATACGACCATAGGGTGCGGAAAACAGGGCTTCCCGTCCGCTCAGCCGTACTTAAGCCACACGCCGGTGAGTTAGTAGTTGGGTGGGTGACCACCAGCGAATCCTCACTGTTGTATGTTTTTGTTTTGTTTTCGTCCTTTTTATCTTGTCCTCATGCTTGTCTATCTATACAACAATGGAGGAAAACCTCCCCCCTAGGTTAGCGGGGTAGCCTAATGGCGCAGTCCCCGGCCCCCTTTTTGTTGGCCCAAACATATCATCGCTCTACGCGCGCGGAGTTGGTACTTTGTTCCCGATACCTGTCACATCGTTCAAGCGACTTCGTACATTCGCTTAAAAACAGACACAACCCGCAAATCTCTTGCTCAGTCCTCATACCACAAATTAAATCAAAGCAAACCTCGAACGATGGATCTCTACGAAGCTGCGAGGCAAGGCAGCGTCGATGACATAAAATCTGCGGTTGAGGAAGGGTGCGATATCAATGCCCTGGACGAAAACGAGAAACCCGCTCTCTGGTTCGCCGTACAGAGAGGCCATTTAGATGCATGCAGACTTTTGATTGCTCATGGAGCTCGTGCGGAAAAGCAAGGACAAAGCATTCTCGAACTCGCAGTTCAAGAAGGGCATACCGAGATTGTCAAACTACTGTGGCCGCACAGCAAAATGGGAACACAACATCGCTGTTTAGAAACTGCTATCTCACTGGGCTTTCATGAAATCGCAGACTTCTTGATCGGAACCCAAGCATTCGAGTATCAGCACCTGCAAGCCGGTGATCTTGAAATTCTCAAAGACGACGGATTCTCCAGACGAGATCTTGCAGCTTTTCAGCAATGGGAAAGATTCATCTTTGTTAGGCGCTCGGAGAAACTCTATTTACATCATATCTTTTTTGACTACGCCCTTCTTCTTGCAACAAAGGCCGATCGCAACGCCGGGCTTCGGCTAGTGAATTTATTGCTTGAGGGTAACAAACCTTTGGCCGACGCAAATTGCATGATCAAGATCGACAAGGAAATTGAGATACCCTTGATAAATGCGGCTGAGAAGTGCAACCTGGAAGTATTGGCTATTTTGATTGAGCGCCCTGATACAAGGTTGACGATTTGTGGCAAACATAACTGGCCTGCTTTTCTCCATCTGCTGGCGAATCCCGAGTCCCTCTCCTCTGAAAAGGGCCAGGTCGTAGCACGGATGTTGTCCAAGGAGACCCTTGTCGATTCGTTCCTGATTGATAGCAAGGGAGCTTATCTGGAGACTGTATTCCAAAGCGTCCTTCGGCTCGGTGACGATGCTCTTGTGAAACAAGTGATCGACCTTGTTCAAGGCGCTGCAGGAATTTTCATTCTGCCGCTATTGATCCGAGCAAATGAGACTCATGGTCTAAAATGGATCTTGAATAAAGACATAGCGAACGCATCCATGCCTCCGCCAATACTTTGGGTGTTGCTTTGCAACTTTTTCCAACGTAATCCAAACTCAGAGGCTCTGAAGCCTTTTATTCGAGTGGCAGAATTTCTAGTGCAAAAGGCGATCTGGGACCCGATGATACTGGCATGCCTCAATTCACGCAACTTCTGTTTTGTCAAGCAATTCTTCTACCCCCTCAACGAGGTCCCACCGAGGGAAGTCACGGAAGAAACATTGGCGGGACACTTCCAGGCGTCTGCGGATCAATCTCTCGTGAGAAATTGGGCTGAGAAAGGGTTTGCTAACGCAGCGCTGTGGAGCGCCATTCGATCCGGGATATGGAAAAGCCCAGCATTCGCAAGCCTCCTTTCATGCACCGATATGGACCTGGATGAGCCATTTCCGCGCGAAAAGAGATTAGGCACAGGAGCTGCCAATAAATCCTCTCCCATATTCCCGGGTATTTCAACTGGCGAAAAACGAAAACTCCCTTTCACACTACCCGTGGGACCCTCCCTAAGATCGCTTCCTGAGCCAGGTACGCCGCAGAGCTATGCCCAGCAAGACTATCAATTACAACTCATGTTACTGGAACAACAGAACAAGAGGCGATTGATGTTGGCACGACAGGAGCAGACGATAGCGTCAGCGGGAAATGGCCTTCTGGCTTGGACAGAGGGAAAAAGCCCTCTAGCTTGGGCTGCGGCAAATCGTAACGTTCAACTTGTGGAAGCCCTTCTGCGCAGCTCGCGCGTCAATGTCAATTCGCAGGACATCTATAAAAAGACTCCCCTCATGCACGCCATTGCTGTCAGCGATGTGCAAATTGTGGAGAAACTGTTGGAAATTGAAGATATTGATGTTAATTTGCAGGACGACGATGGCAGAACTGCTGTTTTCCACGCTGCAGGAAGGGGATACCTGCATATCATACAATTGCTTACTGGAACCCGGAAAGTGGACTTTTCCCTTCGGGATTGCAACGGCGAAACTGTCCAAGATATTGCAAAGAAGACTGGGAAACAAGATGTGATAGCTGCACTCGCTGCTCAAGGGCGTACATGATCAAAGCAGCGCAGCTTCGTATAGAAGAGAGACCAAAGTTGTGTGGAAATTGAAGTATTGCGGAGACTTCGGGGACTTCGACTTGGTCTTTTGTCAGAATGCCACTTGGATAAGACATGCAACTGGCTCGAATGGCATCTTAACACCGCGGACTGAGCTTCTTTGCTTATGGTTTCCCACAACTTGGTAGTTGCAATTGAAGAGTAGTTGTTGATTTTCGATTTGTTCACAAGGGTAAAATTACCATCAAGCGCCATAGGTGGTGGAGTAAGTTAGGCAGTCAAATGAAACGAGTCGAACGGATATTGCGGCCCGGACATGAGACGAAGAAATGATAAATGAATTCCGATTGGATTGGATGTCTCCTATCCAATAACGTATCCATATCTGATCCATGCCGTTGCAGGGGTGAGATTCGTGATCATCACATTAATAATACCTCATGAATCCGGAACTTGTAAGCAGTAGTTGTCCACATACCTAGTGGTTAGTCCACCTTCCTGTCATTATATTCTATTTAGTATTGGTTTCAAGTCTTGTACCTAGTTCACTCGAGAGTTTGATTTTGCCTATTCAACTCTCCAGTCAAGCACTCCCATAATAACACGAGTAATCGACAACGTTGCCGCCAAAGGCATCTCCTATTACACACCAGCACAAAAGCCTCCAGAAGGCACGCAATTAGACGGGTCAACCAAGTTGTTCACCCCTCTTACCATCCGCGGTGTGACGCTTCCAAACCGTCTATTCCTTGCTCCCCTTTGCCAGTACTCTGCCAATTCCAACGATGGCAAGGTCACCGATTGGCATCTGGCGCACCTGGGGGGAATTCTTCAGCGCGGCCCAGGACTGGCAATTATGGAATCCACGATTTTGCCGACTGACTGCAAATCACGAGCTCGTGATTTGCAGTCAGTCGGCAAAATATGACACATGCTTTGTAAAAAGTCAGTCTTTTTGTCTCACTTTTGCCCTAGAATAATACGCGTCTTGAGGTGGAAGTCCTCGGGACCGTAGTAGGGAGAGAAATTGCGGACTTCTCATCATACGCAAAGAGATTGAAGACAATTCGGTGAGCGACTGGAAGGAGCAGCGTAAACAAGGCAGCGCTTTGCCAACAGTGAAGCTAGTCATCGACATTGTAAATATTGTCTGATAATGCAGCCCTGTTTAGAAAAGCACGCCGTATGCCATCGAAACAGTGCAGAAATAGTACCGAATTATTGCTGAAAATCTTTTGGGTATGTATAGTTCATCGATAGAGGTTTCAATGGTATATATGTGTTGATAGGCGGCTCGGTGAATAGCCGTGTCGCCGAGATGAACAATTTGACTTTGAAACGACAATCGACACGGATGCAGCACCATTTCCCATAATTATTGAGCCGATTCTGCTAGATAATGGTTTTTAGTGGACTGACACATATCATCGTGCTCTCGGTATAATGTTTGGTTTCGCCGCCAGCTTTAAGGTCCGCTCGGGATAAATTTGCTTTCCCGATATTGAATAACACCTCACGGTTTCATTGCGACTTTTTACAGATATAATTTCCAAATTCCCTTCTATTCCAATATTGCCGCCTTTTTTCTTATCCACCTTTATCGCTGCTTCTTTGTACCCCAGCGCAGTTTTCGGGACGACTCCAAGACAACGATTCTATACTACAAGCGTTGGTTGATCTATCGAACACTCTCTGACCAAGATGTCATACTCATCAGCCATGACGACCTTAATTAAAAACCCGCAGTTACGCCTTCTAAACGCTCTACGAGCCGACTCAAAGCCTATCATGACCTTTCTAGGCCTTCCGTCCCTCCGCACAGCCCAAGTCGTGGCTCAGACCGGCGTTGATGTCAGCATTCTCCTCTTTAGTGTATCGAATTCCCACTGATGGTCATAAAGGGTATTATTATAGATTGCGAGCATGGACATATCAGCGATGATTCCATGCACAGTCCCACTGCCGCTATCGCCGCTTTGGGTGTCTCGCCGCTTGTTCGTCTCAGAATGACCCACGTCGATTTGATTAAAAGAGCTTTAGATGCTGGTGCACAGTGAGTGACAACACTAAGTCCAGTAGTCTCCTACTAAAAATGTGGGAAGTGGAATTGTTGTACCTCAGATCAATACTGCCGAAGAAGCCAGGACCGTCGTGTCCTATTCAAAATTCCCTCCGCAGGGGGTTCGAGGCCAAGGCTCAGCTTTTCCAGCCATCGCTCACGGTATCGATATCCCGACATACCTGAAAACGGCGAACGAAACGATTATCACCTGTCTTCAGATTGAATCAAAAGAGGGAGTTGAGAATGTTGACGCTATCTGCGCTGTACCTGGTATTGGTAAGTGGTCGACGCCAATCCTAAGAGTGCTTTCGCTAATCTTTGTCAAGATATGATCTTCATTGGGCCGAACGATCTTGCTCTATCGGTCCTTGGCTATGTCCCCGCAAAGGGGAATGAGCCCGACTTTGTCAACGCAGTTGAAAAGATCGTGGCAGCAGCCAGAAAGCATAGCAAATGGGTGGGTCGGTTATCGAATAACGGGGCTTTATGCAGGGAGCATCTGACAGTGTTTGACACCGTAGCGATGAGTTACGATATTCGGGCGATGCAAAACTGGTATACGGCCGAGTTGCAAATTGCGCGTTCGTGACAACTTATATGCTACATGAGAGAGGGAATTCGCTCTCCAATACCGAAACAATTCACGCTGACACATCTTTTGCGATCAAAGGGTTAGAAAATAAACTGAATGATCAGTCCAATTATGGTGAAAAGTTGTTTATATTGTAAAAAAAAAGTACGGTTCATCCAGGGTTGCCCGAAAACAATAACAGAAAGAAATGAGCGCTGACCCTCATCGGTCTCACACTAAGCTGGTTGAGAGGGTAGTCGCACCGGACTACCCATGGCTATACTATCCAGGCATCAATGACTTTCGAAAAGGACAAGAATACGACCTAATGCAACATGAAAATAACGTTGACCCTAAAATCGAAAAGAAAAGCAATATAACAATATAATACTTTTTTTAACAAACAGAACCACCCGGCACAAAACCCCAATTTATAAAAGAATAGGCAGGGAAAGGACTGCCTTAGAAATGGAATAGTGGCCGTAGCATAGAAATAAGTGGGAAAGAAAAAGAAAAAGAATAGCAAGAAGGCGACTTTAGGAAGTTAGGGAAGGCTAGGTGTCTCCTTGCTCTTTAGTAGAGGAGGTATATACACAATTAGCGGGCGGGGCGTTTGGTTTCACTCGCATGAAGTCCAAGTAATGCTCCCATATATGGAACCGCCCCTCGGATTCCTAGGAGGAATGTGGTTCGGTATGGGTGATAGGTGTGTAGTTGTCTAGAAATAAACACTCTTAGTTAATATATCACCCTTTCCTAGGTATTAAGTGTGCTTTTGGCATAACTCACGGAGGCCGGAAAACAAACATCCACTTTCTTCTCTTCTGTTCCCTTAAATCTTTCCTATTATGCTTTCGGACACTCTTCACGTTCCTGAGCATCGAAGCAAAGTGTTGTATAAGAAGAATTGCAAGTGACCAGTCATCAGCCCAGGTCGATAGATATCAGGTAGGAACTTCGCGAGATGATCTTGGGGTTTCTTCATTTATTCTTGTTCAAGATGGATCAGCACCGCATTTCCAGAACGAACTTTTACCAGTTGTCTGGATGAAATGAATTGAAGGTGGGTGTGTGACTTGGGTGCCAGCTAGGAGCTGCGGAGCCATAATCCCAGGACGATGGCTAATATGCACAAGTGGCAAGCGGAAATTGCTGGACTCTTTGCGTCGAGAAAACCCTAGCTCATTTCAAACCCATCCCACCCCAGAAGATAGACCGGAATTTCACTGTTCGAAGTTCTGACCTGGTTCTGGAAGTTCTGGATCTCAAAAGATCCGCTTGCATCTGGCCGGCAAAAGTCTTCGACTCGCGCCAATACGACTTGTGCTCTCTCCGAGTAATTCCGGACCTCAGAAGATAGATCTGAACTTGGCGGTTTGAAGCTCCGATATCGTTTATTCCTCAGCAAGGTAGACCAGGGTCGGATTGGTCGGACGGCGTAGGCACATTACCTTCAATGCATCTCAAGTCGTCCTCCACCTGATATCTTGTTCTTTCGTCGAAAAGATCGATTGCACGTTGGAACCAATGGGACACCTCGCTACTCGCTGTTAGTAATACCATCAATAGCAACAGACTTGGTCAAGGGGAAGTAGCTGAAGACATACCCAGACCTTATGATAGTCCGATAAGCAGAGAGAGAGGCGATGTTCTGCCTCCGTTGCCGAGAGAATTCGAACAACAGCGTCGAGAGACCTCAAGGTGTATTCTTCACCCGTTGCCTGGGCCTCAGGATATTCATTTTCATCTGGCCGGCAGAATTCCTTAATTCACTGAAAGGGGTCTCGAGCAGTAGAAGGCAGGTGTGGACTTGCCGAGGAGGCTTCGAACTTGTTGTAAAAAGTCTCGATTTCGGGAAACTAGGTTCTCGCGAGAAGGCGGTTCGATTTGTTGTCTATTTGTTGTATCTGAAAAAGACATCCGTGGAACATTTCCAGGTGAATCTGGTGCAATCGCTTGAACCGACAGTATTAGTATCCGAACATTTGGTACTCAACGTATGTAGGTGTCTTACTGAATGACGGGCCGCAGGGCTAATGTTGTCACCTCTCTTGGAGTCATTGGGGAGAGAAGGGAGGGGGGGGGGGAGAGAGAGGCCCTCTACAGCTCTCCATAGCCAAAGGCAGGTGCGATCCACGTGAGCCCTCAGACGTCCAACTTCCTTCCCTTTTCGTCAAAACTGAGGTCGTCCCCCACCCCAGTTCCTTCCTGTCCTTAAGCCACTGGAAAAATATAAATACCCCCTCCCCCCCAATTCTCTCTTCTTCTTTTTTCTCTTCCATCCTTCCTCACGCCACACCCTCCGCCCCCCACCCCTCCCCCAGGTCCAGGTGATGGGTCTTTGCTGCGGCTCAGTTAAGGCTGCTAATGGCACGAAGGCATGTAACATGCGGGCACCTGGACCGGCAATCTTCGGATTCCTAAGGGTGCTAGTGACCCAGACGGTAATATTCGATTCCTAAGGGTGTTTGGTGATGACCACTACGGAGACAGACCGTCCTTTTCTGAGGTCTCCATTGTCCATCGCGAGACCTGGACCTGAACCTGAACCAAGTTACTAAGTACGTCTCTTCTCTCCTTTGTTTTTATTGTCTGTTTTGTCTGTTTCTTTATTACTTACCTAGGTTCTTTGTTTCTTTCTTTGTTTTTTCTTCAAAACCCACTCCCCCCCCCAACCCAGTTGCACGGGTCCTGTGTGCAACACCTGAACAAGGCTTGCACCTTTACGTGGTGTTCAGGATGAGTAGCCTTTATGGTGAAACCAAGCAAGCCCTGGTCTATAGAGTGCAATACAACTGGTTGTTCTACTTCAATACGTACTGTGTTTTGGCAAATGTGTCTGTAGCCTGACTTGACTGATAGGTTGACTTGCACTGTGTAAACAACCTTGGTGTATGACAAATACAAGACACTTGACAGTGTCTGCGCATTCTGAAACTGAAAATCCGATCCTAGCTTGAAGGGACTCCTACAAACCAGGTGCTAATAATATCGAATTAATACATAAAACTATCTTTCTATTCATGCAAGAGGCCTTGGTGACAGATATCCGAAATTTGAAGACAATTTAAGAAAGCAGACCATGAGCAGAACATCATCACACAATTCAGAAATCCTCCAACTACACCTTACTCCTTACGCTGTAGCGTATGATAACCAAGCTTCTCTCTCGCCTCAGAGATCGTAGCTCCACCAGCAATCATTTCCCGGATACCAGCTTCGCTTTTCTCAACCCGCCGCGCAACTTCAGCCACCTCACGGGCACGGGCTCGAGGCACAACAACAACACCATTTGCATCGGCAACAACAATGTCACGCGGTTCCACACGTACTTTGCCGATACCGATCGGCCGGTTGACGTCTCCCACCTGGACACGATCCTTCCCGGTTCGCATCCAACGCGCAGCCGTAAAGAGCGGGTAGTCATTGTTGATCGCACAGGTCACATCGCGACACACACCATCGATAACCGATCCAGCAATACCCCGTATACCGGCATATTGAGTCATGATATCGCCCCAAACGGTACAATCCGTACGACCACCATTGTCGATGACCACGACATCGCCTACCGCAACATCGTCGATGAAATCACCAACGCTCCCAGGCGGGTCGCTGGCAGGCACATAGCGCACAGTGAAGGCTGGCCCGACGGTTACCTTGTTGTAATTGGTCAAAGGCATAATCCCGAACGCCTGTCCAGAAATGCCCAGTTTATCAAGCGCATCGGAGACAGCAGGGGTATCTTTATCGGTAAACAGCGCCACGAGCTCTTGATCCTCGGCGCTAGCTTTCTTTGGATTTCCATTTGTTGGCGCAGGTGTCGCAACTGTCGGTGACGGTGTACTCTCCTTTGGATTTCCATTAGACGGGACAGTAGCTGCGGCTTTCGATGGCGCTGTCCCCTCACGAATAGCTTCGAATTGCGTGTCATGCATGACCTCAGAAACCGGATGCCCGGCTCGAACAGCCTGAACCATAAGGTGCTGACGACGATCGATCCGCTCGCCATAATCCAGAACCTCTTCGATGCGCGCCGCTGGGATGAACACCGTCCCGCAGCGATCGGCAATCACATAGTCATCTTGGTTCACGGTAACGCCACGCATCTGCAACGGTATACCGGAATCAACTTGGACCAGCCGGTTACGCGCGCTGATCATCGTCACGCCACGGCCGTATACTGGATAGCCGACGTCGCGGCTCCCGTCGATGTCACGACTCATGCCATCGATGATGGTTCCACGGATACGTCTTACTTTCGATGCATTGGCGATTATATCGCCCCAGCATGAGACGCCGTCTGTGCCGCCGGAGATGACGAGAATGCGATCGTCTGTTGTTACTGTGTCTATGACTGGGGTGAGGAGATGGGTTGTGGGGGCAGCATCGGTTTTCGGGCCCAATTTCACTGTGCTGGCGCGTCCAACGATCTTCGGGCAGTCCCATAGCGGTTGTAAGCCGTATGTTGCGCCTTTCAAACTGAGGAAATCCAAGGCGTCGGACACTGTGTTGGTATCGAGCGCTGAGAGTCGGTCCAGAATGCTGGACTGGCTCATGATGTCGATTGCGATGATTGGGGAATGGTCGAAATAATGGAGGACGATCAAAGGTAAGTGGCTCGTATAAAAGGGAGAGACATGAAAGGTTGTCAAAATGATGGAAATTTATGGCTATATGTAGGTGATCGAGTCATACCATTTGGCTGGGTTGGAGAAATAGCCAGGGCTGCATTAATCATCTCGGCGATCGGGAACTTCTGCCGTGCGAAGTCATGGATGTGCATCGTTTGTACTCCAAACTGAGATGGATTTTCAAGGGCGAAGCATTGGGCGCTCGTGTCGGCAAGATGATGTTATGCCGATTTGGATGTTTCGCCTATCCACACTTCAATTTATCCATATGCCATTCTACAGTCATGCATGCAATATGCATCGTGGACGCTCAAATCGGGATAAAGAGCATTAGCCGATACCCACCTCCCATTGATTTATGAATTGCTCCATAGAGCTGGACGACAACGTCAAATATTATCACCTGATGACTCGGCAACCGATGAGTATGCCGTTTCGCACCCAATGTTATAATCCTTGGCCAAGTATACGGTGACAGCACATATTTCAGCGTCCAAAAGGCATTTTCCTAAACAAGCATCCTCTCCAGGTCCACCTAACTACCCACGCACCTTTCGGTAGTCAAGCCCACCTTCAATACCCGCTTGGAAGACACCTCAAAGACCAAGTTCAAAATGACAAAGCAATATCTCGACCTACCAGTCGCGCGCGCGGACATTGCATTCGGTCTCATGGCGGACTTCGAAGCAGACACTCACCCGAAGAAAGTCTCAATGATCGCCGGAGCATATCGCGACGAGAATGGAGAGCCGTGGATCTTGCCAAGCGTCAAAGAGGTACTCTCAAAAACGCTGTTCAGTATAAAGCAGACATTGACACCCAGCATAGGCAAAGAAACGCCTCAAAAACACCACCCACGAATACCTGGGTATCGCAGGCTCGCAAACCTTCACCAACCTAGCAAAAGAGCTCATCTTCGGGCCCATTGCATCCAGCCTCCAAGAAAACGCAGCATCAATCCAAACAGTCTCCGGCACCGGCGCAAACCACCTCGCAGCCACATTCCTGGCCCGTCACCTCCGCCCTAATCGCGTCTTCATCCCATCCCCAACATGGATCAACCACAAGTCCATCTGGGAGATGGCCGGTGTTGCGGTTGTAGAATACCCATACTACTGCCACGCCACAAGGGAAGTGAATATAACCGGGATGTTGGATGCCCTGGAGCACGCCGATCCCAATGATGTCGTCATCCTACAAGCCTGCGCGCATAACCCCACCGGCGTGGACTTGTCAAAGTCGCAATGGAGAGAGGTATTCAACCTCGTCCAGCGGAAGAAACTCTTCACCGTCTTTGACAGTGCATACCAAGGCTTCGCGACGGGCGCTGTTGACGGCGATGCGTGGGCAGTTCGCCATTTCGCAGAGGCAGTCCTTGCATCCGAGACGCATCCGGGCCTGTGTGTTGCGCAGTCGTTCTCGAAGAATTTCGGTCTGTACGGTGAGCGGGTGGGTGCCCTCCATCTGGTTGTACCGCAGCACCTCTCGGCGCAGGGTGCTTTATCTGAATTGATGTTGATTTCAAGAGCGGAATATTCCAATCCGCCGCGGTTTGGGGCGAGTATTGTTGAGACTGTTCTTGGAGATCGGGGTCTAAGGGCTCAGTGGAAGGCGGACTTGGATACAATGAGCTCGCGCATCAAGAGGATGAGAGGTATGTTGAGGAAAAGGTTGGAGAAGGAGACGTTGCGGGATTGGTCGCATATTGAGAAGCAGATTGGGATGTTCAGTTATACGGGGTTGACTGCGCAGCAGGTGGATCGACTTCGAAGGGAGTTCCATATCTATCTGTTGCCCTCGGGTCGGATGAGTGTGTGTGGTCTGAATCAGGGTAATATCGACTATGTGGTGTGTGCTATTGGTGAAGTCGTCAAAGCAAGCGGGTGTGTTTAGTCGGAACTAATATGGCCGCTGCTGTAGCTTTATCCTAACTCTCTTTATCCGCATACGTGCTGAATTGAATGCGGTTGCGATTCAAATTCTACGGTTCGAATATTAGGGAAGTTCTGTATAGGAAGGGCAACGGGATAGGTGACTCCGGTATTACTCCGATGCTAGAGTACATGTAGGGAGGACTGGGTATATAACCGCCTTCTCGTCTTAATATTGTATTTTACATATCCTAACAGCGTATCATGTTTCGATTACTAGGTGTAATTTGTTACTAGAATGTTAGAGGTGTGACCTAGCGATGCCGCATAGTAGACCTGCCGGTTAGTACAAAGCCGGGGTCATGGAACAAAAAGGAAATCAGAGAAACAAAAACATACAACAGTGAGGATTCGCTGGTGGACACCCACCCAACTACTAACTCACCGGCGTGTGGCTTCTAAGTTTCCAGCCGATTCATTGCCTCCATGAAATAGGTTTTGTTAGTCTATTGATTCCTCGAGAATGCGATCTAAAAAACGGTACCAGTTTACCATGTACATCCATTGTGACCTTCTGCCTGGGGTAATGGACCTCTTTGATAGCTGTGTCAAGTGATCCATACCTGCTTGGCTCCGCTAGTGAGGCTGTTGTAATGACAGAATCTTGGAGCAAAGGAAGGACGTGAGAGAATCGACCATGGGGACAATCATGACCTTTTATATGTTTCGGGCTGAAGCGGTTATGTCCACCATGAAAGATATATTCACAATCATGTTTTGATCATAACAAGATACTATCCAGCTCATCTTCCACCCACTGTATCTTTATCTAGCACAAGGTGCTCTTCCTATCGAAGCAAGCTTTGCCCTCCGGGCTTACAACCACTTCATACGCCTTGCAAGGTAGCTCCCACCACCCACAACACCCGTGACACCGGTGAAAGCAATCAATGATCCATATCCACTACCATACCCCCATCCAACATTTCCCTCCCACGGCATGCCCTTGACAAGCGCCTCACTAAGGGGACCGGAAACCAAGTTCCCAATACCCCTTCCAGCCGCAAGAGACGCAAAGACCATGCTCGATTCCGCCGACGGCTTCTGGCTAACCACCTCACGCATGATACCGGGCCAGGTACTAGTGTAAGAGCCTGCGAAAAGGCCATATACAATGGAGAAAATGAAGAGTGGAGGCAGAGACATTGAGAACCCCCAGATGAGGAAGACGGCAAGAGTGGATCCGATGGTGTTGACCAGGATACAAAGGGTGACGTCGAACTTATCGATGATAGCGCCCATAAGCACGCAGCCGACGACCGATGCTGAGTTGAAGAGGATAACAGTCAGAGCCTGGAGGGACGTCGAAGCTCCGAGCATACCGGCGTACGTCGGGAGGTAAAGCGACGGCAAGAAGAAACCAAGAGCCTCAATGGTATTGCAGAACTGGAAGAGAGCGAACGTGGATGTAAACAAGAACCGAAAGCTCGGGGAGGTGGACTGGGTCGACTCGCGGGGATTAGCACGCGCGGCTTCACGAAGTAGACCAGCGGTCCGGTCAGGACGAATAGCACAACTGCAAAGCCACGTAGTGTAATACGGAACCCGTACTTGCCGAGCAACTGTTCAATAACGATAGGTAGAACAGCGCCGCCGAGTCCAGTGCCGGCCCACATGACGCCGAAGGCGAGGCCTTTTCGTCGGTCGAACCACTCTTCCATCAGCAGGATACAGGGGGCGTAGGCGATGCTGCCTCCGATGGCGTAGAAGATCCCTTGGGTTATGATAAGGTGGTTGGTGTTTGTGGCTAGGGAACTGAGGCCGAGAGCGGCACACATCATCAACACACCGAGACCACAGCCGAGGCGTTGATATCTAGGCCATTGTCTATAGGCGGCGAAGACGAGGGGGATGTCGAGATACATGATTCCCTGGATATGTTAGCTTTATTGATGTGGGACCACAAGCATGTATATTCTTACCATAGCGCAAGTTCCCACGACGGCGATATTTCCAGAATCTTTGAATTGGGGTATATCGCTGTAGTATGCTTGGAACACGCCGTATGTGAATGCAAATCCCCAAACGAGAGCCTCCATAGCGAAACAAGCAGCTAGGAACAGCCATGCGTTCATTCCGCCATCCATCGGAGGGGGTGCGCCATCGTGGATATTCGACAGGTGAGTACCATCAGTTGGCCCCTCTGGTAGTGTCTGGACCCCCTTTTCGGTCTCGCTTGCTGACAACTGTGAGCGTGTCACTTCCTCCATTGTCAAAACCAGTTCACGACGAAGAACCAACAAGCAAAAGGAGAGATATCCAAGAAATGAAGATGAAGTCAAGTATGGAAGGTCGGAAATTTCATATATGTCAATTCAGATTCAAACAAAGACCCTGCGGGGGAGTCATCCGCAGGGCGTGCCCAGATGGAACGGATCATATTATTGCGCGGGCCAATCAATCGGTGAGAGGCCAGTCTACCAGAATGTCCAGTAGTAACCAGTGAGCGTGGAGAATCTGTCTTCGGAGGGGGCCTGACGATGGCGCTAGCAGCTACCTAGGTACCTAGGTAGACTTCTTTGTCATTCATCAGCGTGCCCGCGGGCTGTGGGGTTATATTCTCAGCTCCACTTGGGATCCCGAGCTAAGCCCGTTAGGGAAATTTCCGAATGTTCCTCTGCTTTTAGACCACTGCTTTCAGACCGTACGTTGTAGATGTAAGCTCACTGGGTGATGTTCCGAAAATGGTGCAGGGGCCAAGTGTTCAAAAGTTCGAGTACAAACAGTAGCTTGAGGTTATCGTGAAGGCTGAAAATTGTTATATATGCCTGGGTGCCTTAGGCATGACCCCTCGATAGCTAGATAGTTTGTATGGGAGCTCGCTCCCTTCTCTCTCAATACAACTCTCTCCTCTCTGCTCTATGCTCTATATACTGTAGACCTCAACAAAAATCTTCCTTGAAGTATGATATGAGACGTCAAGTCGACCTGCATATTTGAATCTCTCAACGTGATTTGTGAGGTGACCGATGATTGGCCGCTAAACCTTAAGCGGCATTCCGTTTCTGTCAAATTTGCCCAGGCCTGGTAATGTTATTTTTTTCCTATGTGGGCAATCGCTTTTAACCTGCAACGTATGCAGCCAGGTTGTCTCCCTATTCTGAGATGTGCTCCGGCAACCCCGATCCTGAATTAACTCAGGTCGGGTCCACGCAATTGACTTTAGCGCTGAATCAGCTGTCAAATACCTCGACTAATGCGGAGACAGGAAACTAGCGGCTCGGAGTGCAGCAATCAGCCCCCGAGGCCGTCAAAAGTACCGAGACTGGGTTGGATCCACTTTCCGAAATAGGTGACCCGCGACAATGGGAGTTCCGCTACTCCTGGATCTATATATCCTTGTATCTACTGTGCAATGTAGACATTGAAGTTGTGGTAATTTCATCGTCATTGCACAGATTCTCATCATGGCAGCTGTTTTAGACGCCGCTAAGCTACGCATTTTTCAAAATGAACAGCCTGCTGTGGTCCCGAATCCCGACAAAATACAGTTTGGAAAGACTGTCACTGGTATGTTTCCAACTCTGGGGGCAACAGCAAAAAAAAGCTGAACACCGTCAAAGACCACATGCTTCAGATACAATGGACAGAGTCTGAAGGCTGGCACGAGCCCCGCATCGTTCCCTATGGAAATCTGAGCATTGATCCTACCGCTGGAGTCTTTAACTACGCCTTTGAGTGCTTCGAAGGCATGAAGGCATACAAGGACGCACAGGGCCGAGTACGACTATTCAGACCAGAAGTCAACATCGCACGATTGAATCAATCCGCAGCTCGAGTCTCACTCCCAACTTTCGACGCCAAGGCCTTTCTAAATCTTCTAATTGAATTTGTGGCGATAGAGTCTCGGCACATCCCAGCGTAAGTGACCCAAGACATGGGCGGTGGCGAAATTTGAATGCTGACCATTGTCGTTATCAGCACCCGAGGGTACTCACTCTACCTTCGCCCGGTCTTAATTGGAACAAATCCCGGACTGAGTGTGTCCGCGCCGACCTCGGCTCTTCTATACGTGGTCGCATCACCCGTGGGATCGTACTTCCAAAACGGACTCAAAGCGATCACGCTAGAAGCGGCCAGCAGCTCGCAATGGGTGCGTGCGTGGCCTGGAGGGAGCGGAAGTCATAAAGTCGGAGCCAACTATGCCCCCTGCATGGTGGCGGAAGCGGGGGTCCGACAACGGGGCTCTGATCAGGTCCTCTGGCTCTTCGGGAAAGACGATTTGCTGACAGAGGCCGGAACTATGAATTTGTTTATCGTGTTCCGGCGACCGGATGGGAGTCGCGAGCTCGTGACACCGCCGTTGGATGGCACGATTTTACCAGGTGTCAATCGTGATTGTGTGCTGCAATTGGCTCGGGAACGATTAGAGGTCCATGGCTGGACGGTTCAGGAACGGAGTATCTCCATGCGTGAGTTGGAGACTGCTAGCGCTGATGGAAATTTGGAGGAAGTGTTTGGCACAGGCACGGCGGCTGTTGTCAGTCCGGTCGGATCTATTCGCTGGAAGGGAAGGACGATCAGGTGCGGGGTGTCAGCACAGGGTGAAGTGACGGGCAAGATGAGGAGATGGATTGAAGCTCGGCAATATGGCGAAGATGAGCATGAGTGGAGTGTCTTGGTTGATAAACTCAGTAAGAACTCAGATTAGACCTATCAGCCATAGAAGAATATGCACGTTTACCTACCTAGGTAGGTAGTTTACAATGTCAGCGATTAGGTCGTGCATGGACGCTAAGCCCAAGTGGGCCTATAGGCCGTTCCGAATACGGGCCGCTCCGAATGCGGCTCGCTCCGAATGCGGCCCCCACTACACAACATAAATTGAAGCACGATGTATTTAAAGGTCGACACCAGGATAAGAGCCACGTGTTTCTGAGCTTCATATGATACTATTGAAGGTCATATGTGACGGTGAGACATGCAAATGCAAGCTTGGGATTTTGTTAGAACAACAGGTTAAAATAAAATACCAAGTCTCAGATGATTCTATTTGTCAACTATACACTTAACCAGGGTAGTGAGCAGCGTTTCTCAGAGTCTGATACTCCAAAGCCGTCAGATCCTCGTACATCGGCTTCTGATCTTGAAGGAATTCCTTCAAAGGCCCAACATTCACATGCCGGTCGGCCTTGTTGAAGAAAACGAGACTCCACCGCTCCGGAACCGTCTCCCCTTCACACTCCCTCGGACGGGTTACACGGTGGAGACCACCTCCAATCTGGCCGTTTGTCCAGCGCTGCATGGTCTCAGAAACAATGACAACGACTTCCTCGTCTGAGCCGTACGGCATGGGAATGAAAGTGCCAGGGTTACTCCGATCCTCATACTCCAGTCCCGGAGTCACGTCTGGGAACACGAGTGAGATAATTCCGAAGTCCCTGTGGGGCCAGATACGACTTATTTTGCCATCGTCCAGTGTTTGGCGCTCAATCGGCGGGAAGTGGTTGATGCGGATTGTGCTGGCCTCATTGGTGCATCGGGAGGTGAACACCTTCGGGTCGAGAGATAGCGCCTCGGCCATGGCTTGCAGGAGTACTAGTGTGAGGTCTCCGCATGAAAAGAAAAATCGATCCATCGTGTCCTGGTACCCAGGTAGGTCTGACTCGGGTGGCCATACGTTGGGGAATTGCTTGTCGTCGGGGTGTCCGCAGTCAAAGCTCTCCTAGAATGACTGTGAGAACTAGAAGAAATTTTTCTCAGATATGGTGTATACCTTGTTGTCGCCAAAGTTAGGCTCCTTTATCTCCCCATTGTTGCTCTCAAGCCACCACGTCTTTTCCTCTCCTGGGACGCTCCATCCTCGCTGCTGTCCGTTTTTGGGGTCATTCTTCAAAGGGCCTTTGACTGCGTATGGGAGCTTGAAGAAGGCTTTAATCTATTTATTGCGTGTGTCAGTCTTCTTGCTTTCCAATGCTAGAACGTGGGGATGTTACCTGATCAAAAGTCTCCTGGACAAGGGAATGGGAACCGTGTGATTGACAAGCTTTGCAAAGCCATACGTGTTGAGACTGTCCAGGAGCTTGGTGGCAAATTTGGCGCGCTGCTCAACAGTCCCTTCAGAGAGAGCGGATGCGTCAAGGACAGGAATCGACATAATAACAATGATCAACAACTGAACTAGATTTCTTGGTGGGCTCTTTCTGGACCATAGAATGACTTATAAGATTACAACGGGTAGGCAGACCTCCCGCCCGCGGTCTACCCCGCCAGCAGTCTTGGAGAACATGAGGCCGATAGCGCAATCGCGAGTAATCCGATTTCTTGCTGTATCTAACTTTCTCTAGATATCTCGTTGCCATGCAACTGACAAAAGTCCGCATCTAGAAAATCCTCAATACTAGGGCTTATGCCCATTTCATGCCAAGACAAAATTACATGATCTCGCCACCATTGAAGTCCCTTATTGGTGGGGAGATATGCATGCTGTATCTACCCATGCAAAGTGGTGGCTGAAACTCATGTAGTTCCGAGAGGATTTGTTACGCTTACTCCTGTCATGCGTTATATGGCTTGGCAGACAATAGGCTACACTGGGGCTGGTCAGTGTTGCAATGCTCTAAACGAGGGCCAAGAACTACACTTCGCCCCCGCCCAGCCTACTAAGGCGAGGACAATTAACATGGGATTATCACAATTTTACAACTCGTATACCGTACGGGGGAACTACTACTGCCTCCCCGACAGCGATATCGGAGCATGTTCGTCCAATGCTAAGGCAGGACTAGGTCACGGAATGAAATTGCACCTTGGCAATTCGCAGCTGAAAGAGTGCCGAGTTTACGGATTGCACGAGACAAAGAGACAAGATGATTGGGAAGATTATTGGGGTGTCTTTATTGGCCTTTGACATGAGGGGTAAAACCAGTCGAAGTATGCTTTAAATGAGAATATGTACGCTGCGGGAAGGAAGTGAAAAAGGCCGAGTTCTGTTATTGCTGCTCACCATGCCTATGTATGTATGTTCGGAGACTGGAAAGTAGTTGATCAACCCAATTGACCAGATTTAGGCTTCGCAATCCCTCCGATAAATACGATGCTTTCATTCCTCCAGACCTCCCAGATAGGACGTGGCCCTCCAAGCGGATCACAAAGAGACCGCGTTGGTTGGCGACGGACCTCCGTGATGGAAATCAGGCTCTTGCGTGTCCAATGGTATGTGAATCTTTGGCATTCTGGTTTTCAAGACATTAACATCTTCCTAAGAATATAGAACAAAAGTGGGAGTATTTCAAAATGCTCCTACAGGTTGGTTTCACTGAGATCGACATCTCATTTCCCAGTGCATCCGACACGGAGTTCAATTTCACTCGTAGTGTCGTCGCCTCTGCACCTTCAGATGTGTGGCTTCAAGTCCTATCGCCATGTCGAAAAGAGCTCGTTCGGCGCACAGTTGACAGTGTCACCGGCGCAAAGAAGGCAATCATCAGTCTTTATATCGCCACTAGTGATACCTTTATCCAAACTATGTTCCAGTCGACCCAAGACGCTGTCTTGCGCACTGCAGTCGAATGTGTCGAGTACACCAGATCAATCACGAAAGATGATCCAACCCAGCAAGAGACCACCTGGAACTTGATGTTTAGCCCTGAGGCATTCTCAGACACAGATTCTTCTTATGCGATCGCCGTTTGCAAGGCTGTCAAAGAGGCATGGGGTCCATCAGAAGATATCCCAATAATCCTCAATCTTCCTGCCACCGTGGAGCGCTGCACACCCAACACATATGCAGACCAGGTGGAGATTTTCGCGCGTGCGTTCACGGGCAACGATGTTGTGGTATCTCTACACCCGCACAATGACCGGGGCTGCGCCGTCGCAGCGACAGAACTTGGTCAGCTTGCTGGTGCCACGCGCGTCGAAGGCTGCCTCTTTGGTAACGGCGAACGCACTGGTAACGTTGATCTCGTCACCCTTGCACTCAATCTATACAGTCAAGGAGTTGATCCGGGGCTCAACTTTTCTGATCTGCCTGGAATTCGGAAAACAGTTGAAAAGATCACTCAGATCCCTGTTGCTGTGCGCGCCCCTTATGCCGGCGAATCTGTATTCACGGCTTATAGCGGGTCACATCAGGACGCCATAAATAAAGGTTTCAAAAAGTGGCGGGACGCTGTATCACTGGACGGTCGCGGTATCTGGAAAGTGCCTTACCTTCCTATAGACCCGGAGGATATTGGGGCTACTTATGAGGCTGTCATTCGGATTAATTCGCAAAGTGGCAAAGGAGGCGTGGCATGGGTGCTACAGCGAACCTTGAACCTGGAGTTACCCAAGGAGTTCCAACAAGCGTTTTCGAAAATCATCAAATCCGAGTCTGAGATGAAGGAGCGATGGCTTACAGAGGCTGAAATTACACAATCATTCCTTCGACACTATTCCATCTTGGAGATGGATCCTCGGATTATTGAGTGTGATGTGTCACCCAAGCTGGATGGTACAGGCCGTGTCATCATGCGCGCCATTGTCTTAGTCAGGGGGCAACAACGGGAAGTCGTTGCCGCCGGTGAAAATGCAGCGGATGCAGTCTCGTTCGCATTTTCGTCTTTGGCAGGGCTGAATTTGGAGTTTGAAGTTGTACCGCGCAGTATTCAGGGTAGCCTTGGGGAACCTCTGGTTATTGCACTAGTCAAGTGCCGGCATGTGTGGCGTGCTAGGGCTGCTCGAGATAGAGATGTTGCTATCGCTATGGCGTGTCTCTCCTCTGCTCTGGTAAGTTTATGCTTGATTGTACTGCTAAAGTTAGGTGCTGACTGGAAACAGGATCTGCAAGAGGAGCTTCCTTCCAACCGTCAATTTTTGAGACTTCTGCCAATCATTCATGTTAACTGAAGAAATCTCAGCCGGAAATATTGCCGGATTTTTCTTGTTTTGCTTGCTAGCCGTAGAGACTCAAATCCAAATTGCTCACCTGAAAATGCGTAAAATTCCTGTATCCACCGCGTTGCAAACATTGAAACTAACTCATTTCGTGTCGACTGGAAAACTTTCCGTAACAGGATGTGACATCCACTCCAACTTGCGCCTTTGGTCATAACTAGTAGCACACATTTATCGTAGGTGATCGGGACTAAGTGTGAAGCAAGAAAGACAAATAAACTAATAAAATCAGAAGGAAATGTAATCAAAACACAATCAAAGTGCCCGACATCGGATTCGTGGGGTATATATACTCGGCATTTCCCCAACCCAGGAGAGGTATCTATAGATACTAGATACCTAGGTAGCGCCTTCGGATTACCCGCACTCATCACATCGCCGCCATGTCTTCTACACAAGTTCCCTCAAATCAGATAAACACACTCGCCCTTCTGCCTGGTGATGAACCCAGCACTCAGATGGCAGCCGTCGCCAGGGAGGTGCTACGTTTCATCGAGACCTCGAGACCAGGGGTTAAATTCGGGATTACCAAAACTCTATCTGGCAAAGCCACTCAAGCTGTCAACCACCAATCACTGAGTCCTTCCACCTTGGAGGCATGTCTGGAGTCAGATGCCGTGATAGTGTGCGGGGTTAGAGAGGAGCTTGTCAGAGGAACCTTGGACTTGCTTGGAGAGGTCGGCGCTTTTGCAAACGTCCAACCTTTCTTCTTCCCAAGCATTGGACTTGTTTCAACAGGATTGCTGAGAAACGGTGTCCAAGGGCTAGATATCACCCTGGTCAGTGACGCTACGCATACGAACACTGGAAATGAGGTTTCCCGTGAGACCATCGAACGGCTGGCGCATTGGGCAGGAGCCTACGCATTGCAGTTTTCTCCGCCAAAGCCTCTTCATTGCATTGAGTCATTGCCACTTTGGAATTCTGTTGTTACTGAGGTGCTCAGCAAACAATTTCCACGTGTCCCACTCCAGCACGTACCGATACACACGGCAGCAACGGCCCTAGATTTACACCCAACTAGGTTAAACGGCATTGTCTTGACAACTGGTCCTGATGGAGAAATGGTGTCGGAAAAGGCAGGAAAGCTCATCCAAGGCTCACAGAACCTGCTGGCGTCGGCGACCATTGTGGATTTATCCAACCAGACCCACAGAAGGAACCCTGTGATCTTGAGATCGGGTAAAACCATTGCGAATGAAGCAGCTTTGGACCCAGTTCCAATTTTACTGGTCATAAGCCTGATGCTTGACTTGTCGTTCGGTCTAACTGCAGAGGCCGTGGCAGTCGTTAGGTCAATTCGACGCACATTGGACCCAATTGAACTCATCGGCTGCAATATCCGGACCCCCAGCGCTGGTGGTACAGCTTCTTCGGAGGAGTTCATGAGCAAATTTATGACGCATTTGGACTATTACCTAGAGGCCGCGAGTTCACATGTAGGTTCTCGGGAAGTACTGAGAGCCTCGTCCTCCCTCGTCCGATGCGTCAAAGGCGTCCAATGGGTATAATCGAAAAGATTTTGACCCATGCGGCTGTTGGGCTGAGCAAACCAGAAGTCCAGCCCGGCGAGATTATCTGTGTCAAGGTTGACTGGACATTGACTTCCGAGATTCTCTGGGCAGGAATGGAGAAGACATATGACCAAATGGGAAGACCTCGTCTGCATCGCAATGACCGTATGTGGCTGGCGATCGATCATACCGTTGACCCACGCACGAATCATCGACCCCGACAGCGAGGCTTGATTGAGAAAGCGGAAAGCTTCCAGCGGGAAGCAAAGCTCGTCAACTTCCTCCCTGCCAATACAAGTATTCTTCATACTGACTTTACGCGCGACCGAGCACTGCCTGGTCAGATCATTGTGGGCTGCGACTCTCATTCCTGCTCTGCTGGTTGCGTGGGAGGACTGGCCGTTGGCCTTGGAGCTGCAGATGTCGTCATGCCGATGGTAACGGGAGAGACCTGGTTTCGTGTGCCAGAGATCTGCCGTATCAATTTCATCGGCCAATTGCCTTTTGGGGTGGGTGGCAAAGATGTGATTCTTCACATACTCGGCCTTTTCAAACGAAACACGATCGCCTTCCAGCGCGCGGTTGAATACGGCGGCCCGAGTTTGAAGGAGTTATCAATGGATGCTAGATTCGCCATTGCAAATATGACAACTGAATTCGGCGGGATGGGCGCGTGTTTCGAAGCTGATGAGAGCACCGCCGAATGGATCTCGAAAAGGCCGCATCTGGAACATCAAGGGGGCCTCTATTTCCGAGCCGATTCAGGCGCTCAGTATGCTGAGGTGCGCACCGTCGATCTCTCGGAGGTTGAAACGACCATCGCTTTGTATCCCGAGCCGGATAATGTTGTGCCCGTGTCAGAGAAAGTTGACACCACGCTGGATGGATGCTTCATCGGAGCCTGTACCACCACCGAAGAGGATCTAATTATGGGAGGACTGGTTCTAGAAGCTGGCCTACGAGCGGGCATGGTTCCCAGTGACGGGCAGAGGAGAGTTACACCTGGAAGTCTCAGCATTATCAAGAACCTGGAGCGGCACGGCATCTTGGACATTTACCGGCAGGCAGGATTTGACATCGGAGCCCCGGGCTGTTCCTACTGCGTTGGAATCAACGATGTTGATGTTGCGGGTGAAGGAGAAGTTTGGCTCTCCTCACAAAATCGCAACTTTCGGAATCGAATGGGCAAAGGAGCGATTGGGAGTATCAGCTGCGCCGCCGTGGTTGCTGCCTCGAGCTTCAACATGGTAATCACAGACCCACAGCCACTGCTGGATCAAATTGATAGAGCGAGATTGGCCAATATTCTGGGAAGAGAGAGAGTCTCCTTGAGTATTGCCCCCGAAATCAGCGAGCCTAACCCAGTACTTGCATCAAATATCCCCTCCATCAACGGCAGTAGTAGCGTTCCCATTCACACTCCTGCTTCGACTCGGGATGTAGCGAAAATTTCTAGTGATGGAGTTATTCGGTCGAAGGTTCAAAGATTTGGTGAAAATGTCGATACGTGAGTCGGCCACAATTTCTTTCCGAGGCTGTTTCTGACACCCGACATATCAGTGACGCGATCATTCCGGCTGAGTTTGTACCTGGTGTTGACAATGCAGAACTTGGAAGTCACTGCTTCCAGTATGATCGTCCTGAATTCCGAAAACGAGCGACAGATGGGTCAACGATCATGTAATTGAAACCATTACCAACCCTTAGAGTCGAGATACTGACGAACCACAGCGTCGCTGATCGTGGGTTTGGCAGTGGTTCGTCCCGCGAGGATGCAGTCAGAGCGTTGCAAGGAGCGGGCATCGAAGCAGTGATTGCGCCTGCCTTTGCGTTTATCTGTAAGTGGCGACAATTTTAAAACCCAATGTTGTTAGCCAGAGTCTTAGGAGAGAATGCAGATGACCGGAACCAGCTCAACATGGGCCTTTTCAACATCACCTTACCGGATCCCGAATTCTACAAACTTGCAAATGAGGGATCTATTGTCATCATCAATTCACAAGCCCGAACAGTGCAGATTGAACGTACTGATCAAGTGTTCCACTATCAGCAGTCAGAGATAGAAAAAACACTTCTTGAAGCCGGGGGTGTGCTTCCACTGTATAATCGGTTTGGCCGATCGGTCTTCAGAAAAATTGCAAGGACAAATACCGGGCGGACGAGGGGCGATTTAACTGGCGAAAGTGCGCAGACATCGAAGAGATCTTTGGATTGGTGATTTTTGTCTTCGAGCAGCTGGTTGATATCCAGAGTGGCCAGAATAGCGCGGCTTTATACCATCGTGCTTTGTGTTTGTTGCAGAGTTTGATATTTGTTAAATTCCATTGATCGAGCATGAAGAGAAACTACGAAGAGGCTGATGCTGTAACAAGACGTGGGACGGGATGGACTTCAATATTTTCAGCCGCAAAGGCTTTCATTGCTTCCTTGGCCAGATGGCTTTCATAGGAATATCGGAGGAGCGAATTAATGCACAGTTGACAATGGCAATCCAAGTGATTCACGGTTCCTGATGGGATTTGAATACTGTAAAAGCACGGGAACCATGACCAATGAAATCGCAGGCTCGCCTGACTGTACCCATTCCAGCATACCGCCTCCTCCTTAATAGGCTACAAGAACGCCAGGAACTTAATCTCAGATGATCACATCGATAGGTCGATTACTTGATCGTGTTGTAATTCAGATGTAAAAATCGTATTGTTGTTCAGAGGGAAACATAAGGCTATATATACAACGTAAAGACCAAGTTGATTTCCAATATTCGTATAGATATCTCGGGATTAATTCCGATGGTTCGGCTTGGTTCCTGATCTGCACCAGCCTCATATCATAACACGATGTCGTTTCTGTGTCTCAGACCCAGCGATATGCTCCTTTCAACAGAGCAGACCCGAGAGCGCTCCAAGGGTGTCCTATCCCACGATCCTAGTGTTCACTGATTGTAGGATTGGTCTTGCAGTCGTGTGTCGGATGGTTTTCAAAGTGTTCCCTTGTTGCCTGCGGCTAGGGTTAGCCCCTGACCCCTGAGCTCTCGCTCCAGCCGTAGCCCTAGCCAGCGGACAATGCTGGCCGGTGGTAACTCTTCTTAGCTCTGCAAATACCATCCAGGCTAGGTATTCACAGGTTCCCAGCCGGCACCACGGGGAGGTGAGAGTCGTCGCCAGCCACGCACTCTACAGTCGTTCTCGAAATCGGCTTGACCAATATACACAATATAACTATTTTCTGGACCCACAGCCAATAAATGAAAGCCTCATTGCAATCATAGTAAATACGAGAAACCATCACGCCGCCGAGGCAGTATCTTCTGTCCGAGAGTTATACCATAGCCAGCTCAGATTCCTCCGCCGAACACCCCGCATGTACTTGACTTGATCGGAAGAAATGTCTCGAATGCCATATGTCGGCATTGTTTCAATAAGTTGTCGAATTCCGCAATATATCATAGTGGTGATTGCACCCCCCAGGATGAACAGACCAACAACTAAGCTGCCTTTGTCATCGCTGTCACTCTTCATGGTAGCTGTGTAGGCCGTCGGTTTAACTGGTGCCTTTCTGGTTTCCATATTAGAGCTAGTTACTAATAGTAGTCCAGCTTAGGTTTAGACTCACAGGATCGACGATAGTATGAGGTTGTGGCTAGTCCGTAGTCCCACTAGAACTCAAGTTCAAGTTGCTTAGAGAGCGAATTTTTCGACCCTTGGGAGTCTAGAAAGTGGCTCGGTCAAAAGGGGCATACAAGTAATAACTATATTTGTGCGCATTTCAGATCTTTTATTACCTTCTCGGATGGTGTTTATCCCTCAGTTCCCTAGCGTGATCTGACATCGTAGACACATGTCGCACTACGTCGGCCAATCATGTTATAGAGCGAGTATCCACTCCTTCCCATGTAACCTGAGACCCACCCCTCAGTTCGCCATTCGATCCTCTGCATTGACGTTTCACTCGAGCACACTCTATCGTCACGCCATCTCTACTATATATGGTACTGTGTATGGATTTATGATACTTTTACTCGGCTCTGTCCAAAATCGCTTCCACGTACCTCGGATATTTCTTTCATTGGCTGGTCTTTTACCTTCAGGGCATGGAACCTACCTTTCGTCAGTCAATTCATCGATCTGTAAAACTGAAATCCCGAACAGGCTGTATAGCCTGTAGGTGCGTATTGACTTTCTCCACAGGGACCATCTAATGGACTATAGGACTCGCAAAGTGAAATGTGACGAGGAAAAGCCCTATTGCCTACGCTGTCGAACCTCTATCCGATCCTGCTCATATGACAATGCCTTCGAGGCGCCGGGCCCGGCATCTATTCTGCGTACTTACTCTCCGCTTGACCTATCTCTTCGAGAAAATCGAGAAGAAGTAGCACTTAAGTACTATTTTGAACGAGTCGGTCCTGCGATCGGAGGCTGCTTTGATGTCTCCTTTTGGCAAGGAATAGTCCTAGAGACTTGCCGCTCTGAACGAGCAGTATGTGACGCCATTATTGCTATCAGCGGGCTATACGAAGATAGGGACCGCCTTGCTCGTACATCAACGGTATCTACTGCAACGGAACTAGGGCCCAAACAACGCGAAGCACTTAGGTGGTATTGCCGATCAATTTCCCAAATGCGTCGGCAGATTAAAAAAAATGCCACTGATATGTATATCGCGCTTGTGACCTGCATTCTATATATCTGTATCGAGGCTCTCCAGGGTCATTTTGAGAAAGCCCTACATTTATATGACCAGGGTGCTAGTCTCATCGCAGCTCTGCCTGACAGAAGAGATGCGTATTGGGATTCGTCAGTCCTGCGAGATGTTATTGTCCCATTATTCCTCCGGCTGGGTACATTCGCGTTGGTAACTACGCGGTATCCGATTAAAAATTCGTCGGCAATTATTGCATTCACGGAAACTGCGCTTTGTACCCCCGACGATTATCGAACAGCGATCATCTCGCTAATAGCGGAAACGATGCTTCTCCAAAGAGAAGCAAACAGACAAGCCCGTGCTGGAGAGGTCGTGAGCAGGTCGCCCCTATTCCAGTCGCGTCAATGGGATCTTCAGTCCAAGCTCCAGCGGTGGAGGGTCGACTTTGCCATATGGGATGAAAAGGACTCCTCGTTCGCAGGAACAGCTTTTGCAGCAACTCTATTGAGTTGGCACGCAGCCATATCAGTCATGATTTCAAGTTGCCTTAAACAACATGAGACCGAATATGATATGCATTTTGGTCAATTTCGGTCTATTGTTAGCTGGTCAAAGCATATTCTAGATCTCTCAGCGACGCCAGGTCGATCACAATCACCGTTCACGTTCGAAATGGGCGTCGGCATGCCGCTATTTTTCACCACTGTTAAGTGCCGTCATCCGACCCTACGCCGAGACGCACTGGATCTCCTTCGACAAGCGCCTTCGGTACAAGGTTTCTTTAACTGCCCATTATGGGCTGCTCTGGCCGAGAAGGTCCTTGAAATTGAAGAGGGACGGCTTTCCGAAGTAAGGAAACGCGTACTGCTGAAAGGAAGGCATCTCAGTTTGCCTCCGCGCGAGGACGAACTGGTCATGGTTGCGCCTGAAGAGTGGTACCCGTCCACTGCCGACAGGCAGCAAGAACTTATTCCAGAGAATTACAGAGTCCATGATTATGGAACTTTTCGTCTAGCCAGTTCACGCCTTCGAGATGGTCTGAGCTCAGACGAAGCGAAAACGTTTCTTCGGTTTACGCGAAACAGACGAAGTGCGAAGGGGGAGTGGTATTTAGAGGAGCTTTTCTGCATGATGTCTTGAATAGCGGTTACCGAGGCTTATAAGGTCTGCACGCTGGATACAAGAGTTATCCTTGCCATTGTTACCCAATGGCTGTTTACAAACCCACATCTATCCATTTTGGCTTTAGCGAGAACCTCACTCTAGGTTCTTCAACTGTAGCCACATCCATGACCGACTCGAAGATTATTCTTCAACACATATACATATAGGGTCGCAAGTTCCTGCGAATATTTTTGATTGTTTGTTCACTGCATGTAGCTGCTGGGCTTGCACCATTTCACGAATAAAGTGTAGCCTTGAGGAGGGAAGACTTGGTGCCATAAAGCCCATATGATTCTAGCAATTCTGGAGATAAGAGGTCTTTGCGGAAGGATAGATATTGTAGTGGGGAGATAGGCTCTCCACTACTAACAGTGCATATCATGTCGGCGTGGGCCGTATTGTAAAAATGTAGGGTCCAATCAATGGTGTTCAACTCTCTGTATTGCTATATCGACTTTCCTAACAATTTATATGGGCCGTCGATTACTAATCTAAAATTACAAGATGCATAGGATCAATGGATCCTCCGGTATGCCGGTATGCCAATGCATCTATTCCGACACACCCCCTCAGCGGTCACAGTATGCATACTGAGATCGCTGCACTTCATACATTGGCATGCTGCATGATCCATTCTCTTCCTCAATTCCTAGGCTATAAGGTAGCCTATATCAACCATCCGAAGCAGTCGTATAAAGTTCTCATGCTTCTGTCTAGATAGCAGCTTTATGAGGCCATCGGCAACCATACTCGCTGTCGCCACCCAGCGTACCATAATATGTCCTACTCTGACTTCCTGCCTTAGCCAGTGGTGATATATATCCACATACTGTAGCTTCGTTTCGAAGGCTACATCCTCGCCTATCAAAAGGCTGATCGTCCGTTCATTGTCACAGTCAATAGTCAGGTAGTGAGATAGGGTAAATGTAAGGTTATTAAGCAATCGCTGCCACTATTAGAGCTGCTTTCCTATTTCTAATAGGCCTAGTAGCTCTACCTCTGTGGTTGAGGTTATTACTATAGGCTGCTTGCTAGCTTTCTAGTCAACTGGACCGCCATATGTCTAGCAGATATATCCAGCTAAGCTCTTTCTATCGGGGTAGTCCCTATACGAGGCATCGCTTACAAATTGTACCGAGTTCATTCCTATACTAACTGCTCCGGCACTATATTCAATAGCTAGGTTCCGGGTAGTATAGAGATAGGTAATAACTCGATCAGCTGCCTACTAGTGCTAGGGACCTAGATTTGTAAGGAACTGCGCAAGCCGAGCGGTAGCTTTTATAGCGTCCGGTCTAGTGATCGTAGTAGCATATCCTACAGATCCAACCTTCTACTAGTATAAATAGATCTCTCTCGGCGTAGCCGTACCCTAGTAGGGTATCAATTCGTCAACTAGCAGTGGTATATAGATAGGTAGTGTTACGGAACTACCCGTCACCAATCGATGGTGCCCCACCGGGTGCACAGATGGGCCACCGAGAGCCAACCAATCTATCTGTTAGCAGATCACGTGCAGTACCTAATACTCTGGTATCCCCAGGTATTCAGGAAAGAGAAACCCATTCACACTCAGTGAGCAAAAGCATGATCAGTCCTGATCAGACCCACTGCCAGGAGGTTTCCGGTACGTATGTGCTTCAAGGTACTGGATATCTCCCACACCAACAAGTGCCACGTGACCAACTGGTATACCAACCCAACACGCCAAGACATGGTATATCAACATGGTATACCCACGGGACTACTACTAGGACGGTAGCGGTATACCCAGATAGGGACCAGGGAATATAGACGAAGGATATATAAGGACACTCATTTATGTACTTAGTTTAGTTCTTCGTCTTCAATCATACATTGTTACTTATATTTACCCTTTGGATTACTAGTGACTCTCTTACTTGATTATAACTTGACAACACTCACGAATAGACCAATACCCCGGTATAGATCTATTCGGCGCTCTACCTGGCACCGTTCCTCGATACCTCAAAAGGACCCAGTCTGCAGTAAGGCCTGTTAGGCAACAGTACGGTTGAGAGCACAGATCGTTGACGTTGGAAACCTGAGCGGTATAAGGCAAGTATACCCGGAACCCTTCTAACCTAACTGTGACCAGTTGGCAGTGCGTAACAGGTAGACGGTCTATCAGCTTATACCGAGTAGTAATACTTGTCATATAGCTATCCTAACAAAGCCAAAGCTTCTTCTACTATCTATCTCGGACGATCCGGATATTAAAAAACCATACCGCTTCTCCATAATCTATCAGCTCCCAGTATACTTCTAGATCTCGCTCCAGCTACTATACTTATACTTTAGCAGTACTATAGCTAGCGATCAGGATATCGTCCATATAGAAGAAGACCAATAAGCCCTATCCTATAAAGACGTAAGGGTCTTCCGGCATTTATTATAACCCTAGCTTACATAGTATACTTACTACTTCTCGTTACTATAGTCTCGGTAAGATACATAGTCCGTATAAAGTACGGCGTAGCTTCTAGCACTTACCTAGAATCTAGAACCCTTCTAGTATATAGGTATACGTCTCCTTCTTATCTAGCTTACTATTTAAAAATATAGTAATAGTATCCCGCTATCGCAGATCTATATTAAAAGCAGCCACTAGTACGAAAATTATCCTTACTATCCTTACTACTAGTATAGTAGCCCTTTTCTCTTCGTAAGAAATGGTTTTAAAATCTCCTCGTACGTAGATACGAGCCTTCAGTTTTAATAGGTAACCGTCCTAGTCAAATTTATATAAGAAAACCTATAGTAGAGGGAGGATCTGCTTCCCTCTATCCCTTAGTCTATTAATGATTTTAAATATCTCCTTTTTAGATAGCGAATTAATCTCTTTCCTTATTACTATAAAAAAGCCTTCCTAGTATAGGTGATTTATAATATCCTTCTAATACTTCGACAGTAGAGGAAGATTATCTCGATAACGACGACTATCCGGTTTCTCTATATATAAATTAGCGGCAAAGGTATAGAGTAGAGCCGGGGGCTCTTCATCCCGTACTATAGTGGTTATTATATATATAAAATTATTATCTCTTCTTACTCTACATATTCGTCTTCCACTTAGTATATTACCGGTATCAATATCACTAACTATCTCTCTACTTAATACTAGCAGCTTAGACTATAGCTGCCTTTCTAGCTTATCTTCTATAGAATCAGGAGTAGGTTCGTACTAAGTCTGATCTTTATACTAAGCCTAGTCTTTATACTAGGTCTAGTCTTAATACGCTAGATCTTCTTAATCAGCCTATATATCCACCCCCTAACCAGAGCTAGTACTCGCTTCTTCTTCCTATAGCGGAGTGATTAGTAGTAGTAGTAGATCCTAATCCTCCGGAAATACACCTAGTGGTACTATACGCGCCGGTAGATAGCCAAATATTAGCTAGTATACTTCTTCTCTCACCCCCTAACTTAGGGTAGTCTCTCATTAAGCACTTACTTTACCAATTACTTCTTAAATGTAAAGGATAAAGGTCCTTTCAATTGTGAAACGGGATTAACTGACATGGGTATGTCAGATGTGACGTGGCCGAAGCGAGCGGGGTTCGTCATGTGATCGGCCCTGTTTCTTGGCATACTGTTTTCCTAAAATCCTAGAGCCCCCCGGGGCCCCCTGAATTCTAATAAGAATTAGTCTTGGTATATAGAGACAATACATTGATCCTCTCCCACAGCCATTGTATCTTACCCGGTTGACAGGCTATATACCTACAGACTGTATATCCTTATAATTCTAATTCTTTATCTTTAACTACCTAAGATATAATGGCTCCTCCGACAACCCGTAGTAGCTCGCGAAATAATACCGAAGCGACTAAGCAACCTGCCTAAATCGGTAGCGAATTAGAGACGCTTCTATAAATCGAAGAATAAGGGGAGACCTAGACTTAAGAGGCCCCTACCGAGTAAAATAGCGAATCACTCGAGGAAAATACCCGGCTCGTTAATAAAACGATCCGGGATCTTAAAGCCTAAGCTACGGAGTATAAAGCTAGAGCGGCTCTATAAGAACGCCTCCTCGCGGCCTAGAAACTGGTTATAGAGAACGAGGAAAAACTTCAAGCCCTCGAAAAGCCTATAAGACGCTCTCGATCCGACTATAAATTATCCTCGGAGAGTGAACTAAGCTAGAAGGGAGAGATTAAACGAGATATCGGAAAATTCGAAGAGGATTTCGGTATTAAATAGAGAGAAGACTAGTTAAATAATCTCGATATACTTTTTAAAAAAGCCCTAAAAAAATATATCTCGGGAACCTAGAAGATCTTTATAGCTACTAACTATCTCTATATAGTATATAAAGGAAAGTAGGTGATTTATAAGCGAAAACACCCCGAAGATATATCGAACTAGGAAGCATTCCGAGAATAGATAAAAACACTCCTTCGAAATTCGTATAATATTATAACTAATATCTTTATTAAGTATTAGGAAGTAATAATAAGACCGCTTTAAGATCCTTATAATTTCGAAACCTACCTTAAATCGCTAGAGAATCACCTACTAAACTAGGGTAAAGAGTAAAGGGCCTAGACGCTATTTATAAAGCTATAGAAACCCCTTTAAGATATTATGATTACTACTAGTAATAGTATATTACCTACTACCTAAAACGAAATGTTAAAGCTAGTATCTACCCTCTATCACGTCTACTTCACACACTAAAAGAGGAAAGAATCCTATACCTAACACTAGGATAAGCGTAGGCGGGGAAACCACCACAATTCGATATCGGATTATTCCCGTACCGATATATTAAGAGGTAGAGGTCGAGGATAGCCTAGAGGAAGAGGCCAATTTAAAGGTAGGGGCCGAGGACGCGGACCCTCTATATATTAAAGAAAATCACGAAGATTAAGCTTAGCAAACACTACCACACCTAATAATAAAGGAAACGGTACCACTTCGATACCGGAAAACGCTTACTTTATCTATTAGGA